GGAGGTGACTAACAGAAGCCAAGGCTGCCCTCTGAGGCCCCAGGCAGGGGTCAGAGGCTGGGTTGCCCTCTCATGTCCTGCACTCAGAGGGGAGAGGGGCTGGAGAACAAGCTAGTGAGGACGAGGAAACGGAACCCCCACCAACACACCTTGAGTGGGCCTGGCCCAGGGCCCCAGAGCACCTGGACCCATCCCCAGGAACACCTGGTGAGGCCCTGGGCTCTCAAACAGACAGTTTTTTTTAAGGTTTTCCAAGCTAGGGGACACAGGAAGTGCTACTAGTGGGCCATCTGGAGGGATGAAACACAGACACACAGACTGACAGACATACACAGACACACACCCCTGCCAAGGCCACACAATCCCCCTAGACTAGGACCCAGCGCTGCTCCTGAGTTATATTCTTTTTGCCCAGGGCGGGGGAACACACCCTGTGATGGTCAGGGCTTACTCCTGGCAGTGCTTGGGGGATAAGGAACGCTGGAAATTGAACCCAGGTCAGCCACGAGCAAGGCAAGAGCCCTCCCCACTGGAAAATCACTCAAGCCCCTGAGCCATGTTCTTTTATAAAACTGACTGAGAGGGGAGGGGGGGAGGGGAAGAGAATAAGGTGACTAGGAGTCGACAAAGTAAAAGGTTTCCCTGAATTCCACGAGCTGTTCCAGAACCTCTCTGACTGATAGCCATTCAGTCGCAAGAACAGGCGATACTAAAAAATATATAAAACAAAAGAACTACAGCCTTGAAAATGTGCCGAGAAGGCAGAGCCGTGGGGGTCAGAGAAGCAGAGTTTAGCTCAGCGTGATGTTGACCTGGGTCACTTCACACATGTGATTCTGTTTTCCACAACTGCCAACAGTCCCTATTATTTCAGAAAATCCCAACACCTCCCATGCCCATGCCAAGAGAAAGAAATCTCAGCCTCCGCTGCCTAGACGCCTGGCACCTATATTACCCCAGCCCGGGCCCAGTTTGGGTCAGCGGATCCGCAAACTCTTAGTTATGACCATCACGGTGATCCACTAGTTTTACTTTGGCTAATTCGGCACTTTCTGTTAACATCTGAGGGAACATTCCAGGCTAAGGGGGGGCGGGGGGGGGTTTGCTCTCAGTGAAACCACAGTTGGTTGGCCCTGGCTAGTGTCAGAATTGAGGTCAATACTGCAGGATGTCCACCCCGTGTCCCAAGAACTGCTTACCAGCTAAAGACCCCCCCCACACACACACACTGGAACTGCTCTCAGGACCCCAAAAGACTACAAACCCACTAGGACGGCTATGAAAACTACGAGTAACCAAATTCCAGAAAATGGGAATCTGAGATCTTCAAATATTGCTGGTAGGCACATAAGAGGGGCAGCCGCTCTGGAAACCTTTTGTAGTGACACCTGCAAAAGTGAACAGGCAGGACAAAGAGAAAGGGGAAAAGCATGGCCTGCACAAGGCCGCCCACAGGTCCGAACAACCAAAGGCAAAAACCAAACAACCTCCATGACCAGCAACAAGTGAAATAACAAAATAGGGAGTAAGATCTGCAGCCGGCTCAAATTCCTGGCATGACCTGAGCACCACCGGGGATCACTCCCCAGTACAGAGCCAGGAATAGTCTCTGAGCACTGCTGGGGGCAGCCCCCAAATGCCCCCTCCAACCCCCACCAAAAGATTTATAAATCTGGGTCTGGAGTGATAGGACAGCAGGTAGGGTGCTTGCCTTGTACGCAGCCAGCCGGGTTCAATCCCTGGCATCCCTAGTGTTCCCTGAGCACCACCAGGAGTGACTCTTGAGTTCAGAGCAAGGAGCAAGCCCGGAGCATCACTAGAGTGCCCCCTGCGCCCCCCAAAAAGATTTATGAAATTATCCATAAAGCCCACCTGAAGTATCATATACTACAAAGCTATGCCTGGGTGGGAAAAAGGAGTAATCCAGCTCATGTTAATATCCGTTCCCTTGCTCACAGCTGGAAAAGGAGCAGTTTCCCCAAGATGGTTCTGAATCATGCAAGTTAAACGCCTGAACTCATGACAAATACCTACGATGACAGTGAAGGGCTGAATGCACCTTATCACCTGATGGAAGCTGAAAAGTTTGGAAAAGAATAAGGACTATATTATGCAAGGTCTTTGGCTTTTTGGGTCACACCCGGCAATACTCAGGGGTTACTCCTGGCTCTGTACTCAGGAATCACTCCTGGCAGTGCTCGGGGGACCATATGGGATGCTGGGACTCGAACCCAGGCTGGAGCGATAGCACAGCAGGTAGGGTGTTTGCCTTGCACACGGCTGACCCAAGTTCGATTCCTCTGCCCCTCTCAGACAGCCCAGCAAGTTACCGAGAGTATCCCGCCCACAGGGCAGAGCCTGGAAAGCTCCCCGTGGTATGTTTGATATGCCAAAAACAGTAAAAACAGCCTCACAATGGAGACATTACTGGTGCCCGCTGAAGCAAATTGATGGACAACGGGAAGACAGTGCTACAGCGCATTTTGCATGGTCAGCTATCCAAGGAACCTAACAGGTTAGAATTGGGAATCTGGTTTACCTAAAAACTCGTACTATCAAATATGGAAAGTGAGAGTAACAAGTGCCTCAGCAGATGCCACTGGTCAGCCCCTCCTTCCCTCTCCTGATTCTGACCATCTCTCAGACCAGAGGTAACCCTCTGGCCACCAGCCTTTGCCTTCCCTGGCCACGATCACTGTGTCAACTATCCCATCGAGGAAAACTGCAGGAATGCAGCAGTGTTATGAGACCCAAAGAAGAACACGCCTGAAGTGGAAATTAAAATTCCAAAAGGGGACCAGAGCAACAGCACAGAGGGCAGGACGCTTGCCAACCCGGAGAAAGACTCTTGACACCACAGGTTTCTGAGCCCCTCGAAGGAGTTATCCCTGAGTGTGAGCAGAGCCAGAAGTAAGCCCTATGCATAGCCAGGTGTGTGGGCCCCCCGAAACACGAAAATCTAATGGTGGAGGCAACCTGCAATGAAATGAAAATGAATGACCCCAGCCCTTTTCTCAGATCTGGGTCTGTCTAACTGCGCTGCGTACCATCCTAAGCCCACACTCTTACAGAACACTTCTACAATGGTACGAGGAGCTGGAGTTGTCATCTAGTGCTTGCCCTGCACTCAGCTGACCCAGGTTTGATCTCCCACACCCCACACAGTCCCCTGAGCTGGCCACCAGGAGTGAGCCCTGACCGCAGAGCCAGGAGTAAGCCCTGAGCACCGCCTGGTGTGGCTCCAAAACAGAACTGAAAAATGAGACAGAATAAAATGTTACAACAGCCCAGCCAGCAGTCAGGACTGAAAACCCTATCTCGGATAACTAAGCTCCTTTACAGGAATGGGAGAGCTGGAAGAGCACCCAAGTGAACTAGCCAGGTGGCACCCTGGCCGCTACGTGTCTTTGCTCTCATAGTGTGCGACAATATTTCCAAGGAGAAAAGCATCAAGAAAAACACTCTAAAAATTCATATGCTGGCATTATAAATATCATTCTGAAAAAATGACCCCCCCACACACTAAACGAAAACTATAAATAGGAGCCCATTAGCTCACTAATGGTGGTTCTGCGTTTGGGAGAGAAGAATGCTTCGGCTGACTTGTCAGGCAGAGACATCCCAGGGGCTAAATCTACGCTGTCAAAAAATGTCGCGTGACAGGAGAGAGGGAAGGGGGGGAGAGAGGGAAGATGGGAAGAACGAAGGGAAAGAGAAGGCTTGATATGAGTCAAAGAAGGCCTTCGGTAGTGCGTGTCCTGCATGCTACGTTGCGTGTGGAGAAGTGGTCCTGGGACACCACGACTGACCCCAAGCAGAAAGCCAGGAGCGGCCCCAGAACAAAGAATACAAAGAATCTACCAAATTACCTCAGTATAAGAACTCGTGAGCATTTATTTCCTACACATTCTTTTATTAAAGAAAAGCTTCAGATTCATTTTCACACGAGGCTATTTCCAACTACTTCAGAAATGATCCAATTTCATTACGCTGGCGGGGGTCACACCCCGTGGCACTCAGGGATCACTGCTGGCGGGCATGTTGGAACCACATGTGTGCTGGAGATGGAACGTAGGCTGGCTGCCACTTTCAAGGCAAACACCCGCTGGACTAGTGCTCTGGCCCCAGGACATGCTTTGCATGTGGGAGCCCCCGGTTTGATCCCTGGCACCACACATTTAGCACCGCTAAAACGACAAAAATACTACGGAAAGTTGTTTTCTTTTGTGTTCCACATTTACTACCAGTCTCTTTCTTTTCCTGTGACGGCAATTTTCCTTTAGCTGCTGCATGTGAAAATCTTTTATGTGTGAGATTTGTTTTGTTTGGGGGCCCTATCCAGCAGTGCTCAGGGGTTACTCCTGGCTCTGCACTCAGGAATCACTCCCGGCAGTGCTCGGGGGACCATATGGGATGCTGGGGATCGAACCAGGATCAACTGCATGCAAGATAAGCACCCTGCTAGCTGTATTATCACTCCAACCCCTCATGAGATTTCTTTATCCATATCCAGTTATGAGGACTGGAGCGATAACACAGCGGGTAGAGTGTTTGCCCTGCACACAGCCGACCCGGGCTCGATTCCTCTGTTCCTCTCAGAGAGCCCGGCAAGCTACTTAGAGTATCCCGACCACACAGCAGAGCCTGGCAAGCTCCCTGTGGCATATTCGAGATGCCAAAAACAGTAACAAGTCTCACAATGGAGACATTACTGGTGCCCACTCAAGCAAACTGATGAACAACGGGAGGACAGTGCTACAGTGCTATCCAGTTAAGTCAGATACTCTTCCTCTATTACATCTTTTTAACTTTTACTGAAATGGCAGATCTCTAAATAAAATTGAAAATAGAAAACTTTTTCCCACTACTTAATCTTACTCTCCTCTTTCAAAGGTGCCTTGCAAAATGACAAAATGACAAAAATGAAACACAAAAAGCAAAACTCATGAGTTCGGAGTTGGACGTTCTGCTCCTTGAAGAAAAGAGTATGTTATATGTACCTGATCCATATCTAACGTTGTTTCTATCATTTCCTGGAATTTGGAGAAATCAGAACGAAGATCACTTAGAGGGGTCACAAAAACAGCCAGCAACAACGTCTGGTGTTTGCCTAAAGGAAAGCAAAAGAGGAAAACACATCAGCAAAAGGTTCTATTTTTTCTTTTTAAAACAGTGAATCATAAAAATTCCAGAGATAATTAGCATCAACTGATGCAAAGAGCACAAATAACACAATAGGTCTCCAATGTTACTCATTTTCAAAAGTGTTTTAAAACACAATTTGATCTCTGTGTGTGTGTGTGTGTGGGGGTGGGTGGGTGTTCGGGGACACGGGACCATGCCAGGAAGTAGGAATTGAGCTGGGGTCAGCCATGTGCAAAGTGCCTTAACCCCTGCACTATCTCACCAGGCGGAGAATTTAATTTTATAAATGGGCTTAATGTCTATAGATGATCTGACACTCTAAAGTCCCTACTAATGAAACACTGCCTCCCCCATCTAAAAATCACCCTTATCAAGTACCAGAGATGCAGGCACATGACCCAAATTACGGCTAAGTAAACCCTATTTTTTTACGGACTTGATAACCCAGCATCAATCATCAAAATAAAGTATCTCTAAACTGACCTTTATAACCCTGATTTCCATTAATAATGCAGTGTTCCAACAGGGATTAAATCAAACCATGGATGTCCACACTGGAGATCTGCTCCACTTTACTTACAGTGGGAAATCACGTGAGGAGTAAGTGAAGAGCAGCCTTGAGGCGTGGCAAGTTCAGGGGAAGATGTGGGTGCTGACACCAGCCCCAGAACTACTGAGCCCACAGTTTAACGCTAGCAAGTCCCAAGATGAATGAGTGGACGCTCAGGCAGGGCTGGACAGAGAGAGGAAGCCAGCAGGTCAGTGCGGGTCACTCCTCATTCCGGGGCTCCCTTTTGGGCTCCAGCCAATTCCCACGAGAAAGTCTGTAGCAAACCTTCCCCCAAGGGAAACCTCCAGTTCCCGGACTTCCTCAGAAGCATCGCCAGCTCCCGACCGAGGAAATGATGCAAAGCCATTATGAAGTCAGCCAAGTCGCTCCGAGATTATTAATCACAACAGTACCTCCATGTATTTAGAAAACAGTCCATATGTGGGAAGCCTTACTTAGACAGTCTGTAAAAAACACTTGGCCCACGGCGTGGTGCTTTATCCCCTGAGTTCACGTGCTGTGGGAAGCGGGAAGGACGGCGGGAGGCGGGAGGTACCCAGCTCACTAACGATTTCTCCCCTGGCCTGTTAATGTTTCAAAGCAACAAGGGTAAGCTCTCGTCCAATTGAGGATAGTCAGCACCACTCGAGACCTCAGAGAGGCTGGCGAGTGACACTGTACGTCCACATCCTGGATGGATGGGGAAAGGGCCCACACATTTGCTACTGCTAAAAAGGTTCCCCCCTTTACTGAATTCCTACCCTAATACAGACTTTGGGTGAGTGGATGAGGGCTGGCGGGGCTGGGACCACACCCAGCTGTGCTTGGGGGCTCTGCATTGGGGACTATGTGGTGCCAGGGATCGAACCCGGGTCTCCTGCATACGGAGCTTGGGCTCCTGCTCTTTGCATCATCGCTCCGACCTAGAAGATGCTTCTCAACGTGTCGGGCTGGACCAGGGACTGACAGGACCACACCTACCACTGTGCTCCATCTCAATAAAACCGGCCTTCCAGAGCAATAAATGTCCCAGAAGAGCATCCAAAGGAAGAAACCGCGTCCTGACTCTGAGGGGACAGAGGGGCCTGATGTGGATCCTGGGGCCGCACGAAGAGCTGTGCCAACCTCTCTGGTTAAAGCCTGCTAATGCTTTAGTTAGCAATCATTTTTTTTTAATGGGGAGGAAGGGTTTTCCTACGTGGTACCAGGGGCAGAGGAGTCCTGTGCATAGCCATGAGGACCAGAGTTGGCGCTAACTCTTTTTTTTTGTGCTGTGTGTGTGTGTGTGTGTGTGTGTGTGTGTGTGTGTGTGTAGACAGATAGATATGGGGTCCTACCTTAACCTTCATTCTTCTATAAGCATGTGATTTGAAGTGTTTTCCAAGATCCATCTGTGGCGTGAATGTGGAAACCACTTTCTGTACGTTCCAGAGCCTGTCAGCCCCGACACATCTCTCCCCCCGCACCACTGGCTCACCTTCACTCACATAGTAGGGAGGACCAAGATTCAATGGAACCTGCCCTCCCACTCGTGATCTGAACTGAGACCTGCACATGAGTGAGGTCAGAGTGACGGGTCACTCCCGAGCACAGCGCCAGAAATAAAGTCCCTTCACAGGGTAGATGGGTCCAACCCGCACCCCCCCGACCCCCACAAATACACAAGGAATAAAGACGGTTGTTCAGAACTTTCAGATAGCAATTCCTGATGGAAGGAAAAGGATCTCTGGAGCAAAGCTTTTCTCACTCAATGCAAATCGACCTTCGATACTATTGCTGCCCTCTGCGTGTCTGAATGCATTTTCGTGTTAGTCAGAAATCACATGTTTAAAAAGAAAACAAACTATGCTGAACCCTGCAATGACAGATCATCAGAAGATAGTGGAACATACTCAGTTCCTAGCAGCATACTGAAACACTTTTATTAGGTCACACTTCTTCGTGTCAAGATAATACGCTTAGTTTATTTTCCTCAAAATTCACCCTCACTTTTGCCCCCCCCCGCCCCACCCCATATCATAAGACCAAGGAGCTATGCTGAACCCTGCAATGACAGTTCGTTGCTTTCTCCACTTAAACTGAGGGGTGCGGGGCTGGAGCAACAGCACAGCGGGTAGGGCATTTGCCTTGCACATGGCAGACCCGGGTTCAATCCTCAGCATCCCATATGGTCCCCTAAGCACCGCCAGGAGTAAATCCTGAGTGCAGAGCCAGGAATAACCCCTGAGCATCGCTGGGTGTGACCCAAAAAGCAAATAAATAAATAAGTAAATAAAATGACATGAACTATTAGAATAAAATTTTAAAAAATAGTAATAATAAATTGAGGGTGGCTAGGCAGACAGTACGGGGGTTAGGTACTTGCCTTACATGCAGACAACTTTGGTTCAGTGCCCTACTCCTTGCCACCCAACACCAGCATTACCAGATACAGCCCTGGAGGCCTCTGAGGGTCCCTCCCAGCACTCTTGGGAGCTAGGATGATCCTCGCACCACCTCGCCCCTGACATCCTAGGGCCCTCACATTGAACTACTCTCCTAGCTGGAGGAGAGACTCACCAAAAAGGGCTCAAGGTCTCCAGACTAGAGAAAAAAATCCACCTCACACAGGCCTACAGCAGGAAGCTGCCCGGATGCCTCCGTTCCCTGCCCCTCCCGCCTTCTTTGCTGTGAAGCATCTTCTCATTGTGCTGTGAGCACTGTCAAGGTTGGGCACTGAGTCCTTAGCAGTCAACCCCCATCCAAGCAGCCCTAGGCCTAGTCAGTAAACGGAGCAACCCTGACAGTCCTTTCTGAACAGCAGAGGCAGGGCTGAGAGACAGGACACGGAAGCGGAGGCACCCACTCACATAGGGCCCCATTCACATCCCTGGCACCACATGCAGTTCCGCAAGCACTGCCAGGGGTCATTCCTGAGCCTAGTGCCAGAAAGAGCCCCTAAGCACCCCTGGAAATGTGGAACCCCCCAAAACCGAAATGCAAAAGCAAACAGTCCAAATTTTCTCATGCATCTTGACTTGTACACTTTGAACTATAGGCCAAATAAAAACCTGTCGGAAAAACTTAAAAAGAGGGACCAGAGCGATAGTACAGCAGGAAGGGCGCTTGCCTTGCACGCAGCCAACCCAGTTCCATCCCTGGCATCCACGTGGTCTCCCGAGCATAACGGGCATGTCATCCCTGAGTGCAGAGGCAGGGGTAGCCCCCGAGCGTTGCCTGGTGTGACTCAAAAAGCAAAAAAAGAAAATTCCCAAACCCCCAAAACCTGAAAAAGAGGTTCTCTGAAGCCAACTTTCTAAGGACAGTGCATTCCCAGTGAGAAGAAGAGAGAAGGAAAACCAACATTTGGTTACCTTCGTATTTCTCCAGAACTCGGATAACATTAGGGAGTTGGTTTATGCCCTGATACAGTCGGTAGCAATCCTGCAAATTTGCTGCTTGCCTTTGAAATTTCTTAGCAAGTCGGTTAAGATCTGGAAATCTCCGAAGTAAATCTTCCTGTAGGCTCTGCCTCAGTTCTGCATCTTCAACGAAAGCTTCCACCAAATTCAACCTGGAAGAAATCACAAAAATAACTTTGGAAAATTTTCTTTTTGGGCCACACACACAATGCTCAGGGTTACCCCTGGTGGTGCTCAGGATCATGTTAGATGCCAGGGATCGAATCCAGGTCAGCCAGGGCAGGGCAAGCACCTTCCCCACAGTACCATCACACTGGCCCCTGAAATATTTTAGTGTTAAAATCCAATATTTTTTTCTTTTTGGGGGTCACACCCAGCGATGCTCAGGGCTTACTCCTGGCTCTGCACTCAGGAATTACTCCTGGCAGTTATCTGGGGAACCATATGGGATGCTGGGAATCGAACCCGGGTTGGCAGTGTGCAAGGCCCTACCCGCTGTAATACTGCTCCAACCCCTAAAATTCAAATTGACCAATTAGGCACATAACTCTCAACTACCTGAACAAAAATTTTCATGTGATAATGCTTTCATTCTGTAATGCAGCTTTTTTTAGTGTGAAATGCTCAAGAAAACTGGGACCTAGTTTCTCATTGGCTGGCAACCAAATCAATGTTCAATTAATGACAAAAGGTACTAAACTGTATACCCTGTTCTGAGTCTCATCAAATGAACATTTTTCTTAAGTAAAATAATTTCATTATTATGATATACTTTAGATTCGAGTTGAAAGCTTATATATGTAAATAAGAATAGGCATTTACTATATTGTATTAAACGATTTTAATTTTCTTATTTACGTATGTCAAAATCATAGAATAATCACAAATTGGTTCTCACTGATTTATTTTCTGATCATTCTAATTAGCCATTTCTAAAGTTTTGCTGGAATAAGCAATATAAAGTAAACTTGGGATGTGCCTTATGAACAACATTGTAAATTGTGGTGCTTTTAATTAAAATTAACTGAAAAAATAATTTCATTATTGGGACACTGGTGCCAAGGACACATTATTGCACAAGGCGAAATATTTTACAAAACAATTACAAATCAACAACTGACAAATTCAACTTATTTGATTAAAAGGTCTTTAAATTCTCAGAATGCATTCTCGAAATACTTCAAGATAGAACAAAACCAAAACTTCCTAATTGAAAACATAAAACTGTTATATTGTCTCTCAAGGTCAATAAAGAAAATCTCAGCTTGTTTTAAGAACCATAAGACAGGGAAAAAAAAAAAGAGGCGATTATGAAAGAGGTGATTCATAGTGCTTTTGCCATTTATGGGATGCTAATCATTTTCTGCCTCTATCACTGCAATCCACAGCAAGAAATATATTTTGACAGCATGACCCCCACATGCATGCATATATTTTGCAGGAGCAGAATACACCCCGCAAAATATGCCAATACAGCTCACAGAACTATTCTGAGCTAAAGAAAACTCAGAAACAGAAGAAAGGAAAGCCCGGTCGGACCCTTGTTTGCATGCAAACAGGACGTAAACTGAAAAAAAGGCTCCCCTTCTTTTTTGCTCTGTGTGGGCCACACCAAGAGGTGTTCAAGGGCGCCTCCCATCTCTGTGCTCCGGGGATGCTCCGAGGACCACGAGGACCACGTGGGGACAGAGAGGATGAAAGCGGGTGCATCTTAGGCATGGCAGGCACCTCACCCCGTGCTCCCTCCTAGGGCCTCTCTTCCTTTTTTATGGTGCCTGCATGGATCTGGAGGAGGCTCAAACCCAGGGCCTCGCACAGGTGCCCAGTCACTCCTCACCGCCCCCCCTCACGTCACTCTGGGCGACTTGATCCCATTCACCTGGAGGCCACCGCATCCCAGCGACCCCCCCCACAATCCCTGAATTTGCTTGCCCCCAGCTTCGGGGCCCAAGGTACTCAGTCCTCCCCCTCATCACTACCCCTTCGCGAAGGTGCTCTCAAAACGGGCTCTAACCCCTCTGGAGGTGCAGATCTCTGAGTGCTCTCACAGGTCCCCTCAAAACTTGTTTTTCAGGGCCGGAATGACAGCACAGTGGGGAAGGCGCTTGCCCTGCACACGGCAGAATGGGATTATATCTTCCAATATCAATTTATAGGGCCCCAGTCAGAGAACCCAGAGGATAGTAAGGAACAGTAATTTCCACTCCTATAAAATAAAAGCTGTCACAAAACAATGCTTACTTTACCTGAGTGCCTGTGGTACTTTTATCTTTTGATTGTGCTTAAGTTTTAAAAATGCGTGCTGTCACCCACTATACTAACCCCACAGCTCGTGAATGGCTCGTAATTTGAAGTCTGATTTTCCTTGGGGAGAGGAGGTCCATACTCCAAAGGGCTCAGGAGCACCTTCCAGCTCAGTGCGCAGGGATTATTCCCCGTGGTGCTTAGGGACTGACCACGTCCCCACTCACAAAGCCGGCACTCGGACGCTCAACACTCTCCCGCACCTAGAGTTTGATTTTTTGTTGTTGTTGTCACTTTTTTGTGTTGTTTTATGGCCCCAGCATTGCTCAAGGGTTCTTCCTGGCTCTGCACTCAGGGATCACTCCTGGCAGTGCTCGGAGGATTGTATAGGTTGCCAGGGATCAAACCAGGGTGACCCACGTGCAAGGCAAGCCTACTGTACGATCGCTCCAGCCCCTCAGGTTTGCGGGACTTTGGTTCTGCTTTTGCTCTTGGCCCACACGGGGCGTAACACTGGCCCCTCACACACAAACTCCACACTCCAAGCCACCCCCGCTACACCCCCGATCTCTCTCTCGAAAGCTGTGGGTTTTACTGAAGTCATAGCTAGAAGGCAGAGTTCCACAAAGATAGGGAAAATCGCTTGGACACAGCACATGATGGCAACGATCTGATTCTATTTGTTAACTACACAAGCAGAAAACTAACCCTCCAGTGACATAGGGCCATGGAGAAGAACCGCGCCCCCTTCCTAAATCTCTAGTGACTGCGAGTTCCATCAGCATTCACTGTTCCTGCACCATCAAAATGCTCAACCAGCATGTTCGAATCAGGAAAATAATAACACTGTATTCCCCCATCACTGAGCACCACCGAGTGACAGCTGTCACCACCGAGTGACGGTTTTTCGGACCTCAGCAACACTCCCACCCAGGGCCTGACCCTGAGCTGTGAAAGGCCGCTTGCGCCACTGGCCAGCACCCCGGGCAGCCACCAACCCATTCTCCACTCTCCACAAAAGTCCTCCAGAAACTACCAATACCCCCCCACTCTGGCAAGGGGGCGGGGGTGGAAGGAGAATGAATGTCCCAGCTCAAGAACCACAGGTTAAAATGCCCTTTTATTTTTCCCTGTGGGCCCCTCAGGAAGGGCCCACAGAAGCCTGACCCAGCGCTGTGCTCTTGCGGCTTCTCCCACCCAGCAGTGCTGAGGGTTGAGCTGGGCCAGCTGCAGCCAGAGACCTCCCTGGCCCTGAAAACACACTTTCTACAGGCAAACAGTCTTGATTATGGAATGCAGGAGGAGGCGGGGAGGAAGGGGAGAGGGGGGAGAGAAGGAGGAGAGAGAGGGAGAGAGAGAACAAGAGGGAGGGAGAGGGACAGAGAGCAAGAGGGAGAGAGAAAGAGGAGTGCAACATGTCAAGAGAGAGGCAACTTTGGCTTCCTGCTTGGGGAAGAGCCAAAGGAACTTCTCCACCAAGGCCGAGAGGAATACAGATGTACTGGGCAGAAACTGTGAGGGGCTGGGGAGACAGCAGAGCAGGCAGGGCACTTGCCTTGCACACAGCCAACCCGAGGACCCCCAAAACATCCCCTGCGCTTCACCAGGAGTGACCCCTGCTAGGTGTGGCCGCCCCGCTCTGGCCCTTGTAAGAGATGGAAAGACCCTCAGGCGGTTCGGAGGCAGAGCGGTTCCCATGCAGATTCAGGCACCAGCCTGGTCCTGGACCACGGCCCCCGAGGCCCTGCCAGCGCTGCCACCAGGGTACGTGGCACTGCCACGCCACGCGCATGCGACACACAGGCACACAGGCACTGCCACACCACGCGCATGCGACACCAACTCACCAATGGGGCGCACAGCAGGGAAGGTGCCCTGACCCACTAGCTCCCCACGCAGCGAGATCCGCAGCACAGAGCCAGGAGTCCACCCTGAGCACCATCAGGTGTGGGCCAGCCCCATCCCCCCACCCTCAAAAAAGGGGAAAGGGGGGGAAAGGATGAAAATAAAAAGAAAACTAAGTAAAATTCCATAAACCGCCCAGATACCATGCAAGCAGCTGGCAGGCGCTGCTTGTGGCGAACAGAAGCAGCGGGAAAACGAGCTGCTGCGAAACTCGCATCCCGGCCAGCTGCTGCGAATACGCGGCTCCAGCGCTGGGCACGTGACCAGCAGGCCGAGGCCCGGTCCTCATGCATGCAGTGCCCCCAGGCTCAAAGGCCACTGAGAATGGCCCCTTTTTAAAGGGCCGGAGCAACAGTACAGTGGGGAGGCATCTGCCCTGCACACAGCCGACCTGGGTTAATCCCCGGCACCCCATACTGTCCCCTGACACCTGCCAGCAGTGATCCCTGAGCACAGAGCCAGGAGCAAGCCCTGAGCATCGCCGAGTGTGGCCAAAACAAAAGAGGAAGCCCTGAGCTGAGGCCCTCACTGAGGCAGGCAATGAGCATCTCAAGGGGTTCTTCTGCATACATTGGCTGGACACACACAGCTCCAGAGAGGCAGGGAAGGACAGCTGACTGCTCCCATCTCAGGACAGGGAGAGGCAGGGAAGGAACGCGAACTGATCCTTTGCCTCCTGCTGCCAAACCCACCCAGGCAAGCGAAAAGAACCAATAAGGAAGATATTTCTTGCCAAAACTCAACATGCAGGGCCACTGAGACGACACATGGGGCTGGGGTCACAGCATGGCACACAGGAGGCCTTGCTATGGTCCCCAGCACTAAGCCAAGAGTGATTCCTGTGCCCCAACATATGAGGCCCCACAAAAAAACATTAATAATGACTTTAAAGATTTTTCCTACTCTTCTTCCCTGGCTCGATCTCTTACCACTGTGTCTTCTCAAACCGACAAGTGAATGAATCCTAAGTAGTTAACACTTCTTTTTCTTTTTTGACTTTTGGACCACACATGCAGTGCTCAGGGCTCACCCCTGCTCTGCACTCAGGGATCACACCTGGGAATGCTCAGGAATGAAATGATAGACTGTGCCGGAATTCAAACCCAGGCCAGCCGTGTGCAAGGGCAGTGCCCTAACCCGCCATATTCTCTCTTCAGAACAAGAGGTTCCACTCAGAGTACTAACAAGTACTAACAAGGAATGCCACTCAGTGGCAGAGACTTGCTTTGCATGTGTGAGGGTCTGGGTTTGATTTCCAGAATCACAGTAAACAAAGTCTTTTTTTTTTCTTAAGAAATAAAGTCTTGGGGCCTGGAGCGATAGTACAGCAGGTGGGGCATTTGCCTTGCACGCGGCCGACCCTGGTTTGATTCTCAGCACCCCATATGGTCCCCCAAGCACCACCAGGAGTAATTCCTGAGTGCATGAGCCAGGAGTAACCCCTGTGCAACACCAGCCTGGCCTGGGAGACTCAAAGTAAAAAAAAAAAAAAGTCTTAACCAGCTAAAAGCAAAGGTAGACCTGGAGAGCCAGGACAGCAGGCAGGGTACCTGCCTATCCACAGTTGATCGAGGTTCAATCCCCAGAATCACAAGTGGCCCCCTGCATGCCCCCAGGAGTGATCCCTAAGCTCTGAGCCAGGGGAAACTCGCCCTGATAATGCCAGTTGTGGCCCAAGAAACGAAAAACGGAAAAAGGGAATCTGGGCCTAGGCAATAGTATTGCAAGGAGGGTACCTGCCTTGCACGCAGCTGGCCCAGGTTCCATTCTCAGCAACCCTCGTGGTCCGCTGAGCCCAACAGGAGTGATCACTGAACCAGGAGTAAGCCCTGCCGAACACTGCCGGGTATTACCCAAAAACAAAAACAAAAAACAAAACAAAGGGATGAAAAACCTCCTAAAACCCCAGCACAAAGCAATACTATGCATAACCCCTCAGTCTTTGGTCTGAACATCATTAAAAGCTTAACAAATTGCTAGTTTCACAAGTCTTCAACATGCCATTTCAGAAATAATTACAGTGTCAGTTCATGTTCTGGCTAACAAATTTCTTTCCAAGACTGCTCTGCTAACTGTTTCCATGACAATGCACTTTAAATTGCAATTTTAGAAGTTCTAAAGTTACTGTTGGCATAATATGGTGCGCTGTCAACCCTACTCAATAAAATTACTCAGCTGCATGCGACTGGATATGATGATTTACAAAATGACTAGATTATATGATGATGCTGAGGGTGTTAATCTCCAAAATTCCAACAGACTGAACCAGGAAATTCATCGTGGAACTCAAGATAGTTAAAAATCAACATGAGATTCTTTAGCTGGCATGTCTGATCTCCCGTCCCAAGAACAGCTGGCAGAGCTGGACAGGAACACTGAGATGGTGGAGAACAGAGTTGGTACCTAGGAATGAGAACGATGTCAAGACTCCGCTTTACCTGGTCCTCACAGTAAGAGTGACTCATCCGAAGCTAGAATTGCAAAGATACTGTAAAAGGGAAGGGGGAACCAAGAGATAGCCCAGCGGTGAGGGTGCAAGGTGCACCCACACTGGGTCTGACTTCTAGTAGCTCACACTTCCCGGGGCACTGCCAGGTGCAGCCCGAGCATCATCACATCCCCTGACCCATGCATGGAACCACCAGCCCGGCCTGGGAGACCCAAAGGAAACAAGACAAAACAAAGCATGTGGCAGGATAAAGAGAGGATCGTGCTTCGAAGGAATCATCAATCAAGCAAAGGACGGGGCCACGTTACAGCGAGTACCGAATGCAGTTCCAAATGCAGTGAAGGTTCCAAACGCAGTAAAATGATGTAAGGGAAAGAAAGCAGGAAAATCCAAGGAGCTGAGAAACTGGATTGGGGGCATTCCATCTGCCTGCGATTTTTAGGGATGACGTTCGGGGGAGAAAACGTGGAGCAGAGGGCAGAGAAGAGAATGGAGAGGAAAGAAGAGGCCACACTGGAGAGAAGTTAAGCAGGGAAGGAACGGGAAACGGTCTGGCAACCCGAGACTTGGCAAAGAAAAGTTCGTTCCTTCCTCTGAGAAAGAAAATGGTCAATGAACAAAGGGAGAAATGTCTGAAATGGTAGAGACTGAGAGAGGTCTGGAGAGAGAACAGCAGGTCAGGTGCCTGCCATGCAGGTAACCGACCCAGGGCGGATCCCTGGCACCCCCCGCCAGGACTGATTCCTGAGCACAGAGCCAGGAGTAGACCTGAGCACCACAGGTGTGACCCCAAAACAAAACAAATCAAAAGTAACTTTTGAAATAAACCTTTTCATTTTCAATAAAATATCAACATACTTCCAACCTGGTAATTTCCTAAATGATTTTTATGCGAAAATTACTTAGAAAGTTATTCTATTCCTCCGTGAAATCTACAGAATCAATATAGTTTGGTAACTAGAGGCAGATGTCCTAGGAAATATTGATCAATGTATGCTTGTCTGGCATTTTCCCAAGTAGTTACCCAGTCACTATGCTTTTGTATACCATCAATATTCAGTAGAAAAGCAAAAAATTCCTGAATGATTTGACAACACCAAAGTCATAAATATACTCAATTTCCTTAACCACTGTGAAAATATATCACAAACGGAAGACAGGCATATAACCACTCAGAGTGCTGGGGAGAGACTCCAAGGACGGGCGTCTGTTTCGCATGCCCAGCTCAATATATGGTCCCCGAGCAGGGCCAGTAGCCACAAACAACGTTGGCGGGGGCCCGAGAGGGGAGACAGCAGGGACAGCACTCATCTTGCAAGTGGCCAAACTGAGTTTGATCCCCAACATCCCACAGGGTCCTCTGAGTGCCACCAGGAGTGATCCGTGAGTACAGAGCGCTAAGCATCCATGGGGGTGCCTCCTACTCCCAGGGGGGAAAGAAAAAGAACACTGCTAGAATGCAGCCCAATAAACAAAACAAACAAAATCCTAATCAGATAAAGACGTTATCAATCACATGAGCTGATGACTTTTTTCAGGTTTTCTTCTTTTGTTTTTGGTGCTAAGGGATTACTCCTGGGAGGAGCTAGAGGACCACACAGGTTCTGGGGAATCACACCTGGGTGGGCCATGATCCCGGCCCACTTTACTCTTACTCCAGCCCCAGTTTAATTGTTTTTTGTTTATTGGGTTTTTTTTTTTTTTTTGCTTTTTGGGTCACACCCAGCAATGCTCAGGGGGTTCTCCTCACTCTGCACTCAGGAATCACTCCTGGTGGTACTCAGGGGACAATATGGGATGCCGGGGATTGAACTCGGGTCGGCCACATGCAAGGCAAATGCCCTTACCACTGTACTATCACTCCAGCCCAGTTTAATTACTTTTAAATCAAGCTAAATCATTATATAGCTCCCTGCACAATTACACATAAAACTCTAAGGGGTGAAAACTGCACATTACAGCGATATAATGGTATAGAGTAATTGGCAGCAACTAAAAGCATCCCACGGCTAGCCCAGGAGCGTACCTCTCCTCTATTCTGCTCCTGTCCATGAGCGGCTGCTTGATCCACTGGTTAACCAGTCTCTGTCCTTGAGGGGTTTTGCATTTATTCAGCAATGCGGCCAGGGACTGAGAGCCGGAAGTATCTTCAACAGAACCCTATAGCAAAACCAGAAGAGCGCATTTACTAAGGAAAACCCTACTGTGCGTGAAAATAGGTAACTTCAGAGACAAGAACACTAGAACACTTCGGGTCAGAGAGAAAGGGTTGGGACCACATTCAGCAGTGCTCAGGGACCAAACGGTGCCAGGTAATCACGCAGGTCTCTTGCACGCACTGCAGCCTTTGAGCCATGTACCCAGCCCAATAAAATATTGCTGAAAAAGGCCAAACTTGTAAATAAGTCCTCTTTCTTTAAAAAAAAAAAAACTTTCATTCCTGAGTACAAAGCCAGAAGTAACCCCTGTGCATCGCTGGGTGTGACCCAAAAAGAGCGGGGGGAGAGGAGGGGAGTGGGGCGGAACTTTCAACCGATTAAGCTGCATATTTTAAGCTGCATATTTTGCTGTAGATTCTTCCCAAACCAAAACTACTTCAATACTTACTATAATATGGAGATAAGGTGTGGCCACGTATGTGACCAACCCAGTTGATCCCCAGGACTGCATACAGTCCCCAGCACTGCCAGGGGAGAGCCAGGAATAACCTAACCCCTGAGCACCGTGGGGTGTGCTCCAACAAACCCCACCCTCCAATAATTACTACGGTCTAGACATACAACTGATTAGAAGGGCCAGACAATAGTACAGCGGGGAGGGCACTTTCCTTGTATGGGACCAACCCAGGTCCCATCCCCGGCATACCGTATGGTCCCCAAGCACCAACAGGAGTGATCCCTGAGTGCAGAGCCAGGAGTAACCTCTGATTATGACTAGGTGTGGCCCAAATAGCAAAACAAACCAAAAAATGATTAGAATGTCATTTTTTTGTTGGGCTTTGGGTCACACTCAGCTGTGCTCAGGGAACCATAAAGACCATAAGGAGTGCCGGTATTGAACCCAATGGGCAACGAGCAAGGCAAGTGCTCTGCCCTGCCCACTGTTCTATCTCTCCAGTCCCTGAAATGTAAATGTTTTTTTCCTTCAGGTTTCTGGGTCACACCCAGCTATGCTCAGGGGTTACTCCTGACTTTGTGTTCAGGAATCACTCCTGGCAGGCTACAGGATCATAAGGCAAACACCCTACCCGCTCCAGTCCCTAGGGTATAACTATTTTATTTTTATTTTATATTATTTGCTTTTTGGATCATACCCAGTGATGCCACAGGGGTTACTCCTGGCTCTGCACTCAGGAATCACTCCTGGTAGTGTTCAGGGGACCACATGTGATGCTGGGAATTGAACCAGAGTCAGCCGCATACAAGGCAAATGCCCTACCTGCTGTGATATCATTCCAGCCCTGAATAGAACTGTTTTAAACTACTATTAACAGAGGCTGGAGAGACTAAACAGGTAAATCATCCACCTTGCATGCAGCCAACCCCGCTCGATATCCAAGCACCACCAGGAGCAACCCCTGACCAGATAGGAGCAGCCCCAACATCACCAGGTATGGCATGAAAACCCAAACCCACCCACTCCCGCCCCCCAAAATTTAAAAACTAAATAAAATTATTGTTAATATACAAATTTTTAAGACATTCTATTTCTATCACATGCAAACTAGTTTTAATATTTTAATAAAATATTACTAAATTATAGCAATTCAATCCTCTTTGTCTTTTCTAAATGTGTAATTATTTTGTTTTGGAACCACACCCAACTATGTGCAGGGCTATTCCTGGCTCTGCACTCAGGAAATACTGGCAGTACTTGACAGAGCATATGGGACAGAGACCAAGTCAACGGCATTCAAGGTAAAGCACCCTAGCCAATACAGTATCTCTCTCTGGCCCTCGAAATATTTTAAATGTTTAAAAATATCTAAGCTCCATAAGATGCTCAGTATCTAGCAAAAAATATCATGTTCTAACCATTTAATATTTTTCAACGTCTGCGTATGTATCTGTATGTGCGTGTGTGTGCACACGTGTGTGTGTGTGTGTATGCGTGTGTGCGTGCTGTGTGTGTTTTACCTGGAAAAGGTTAAGGGCTCTGACTGCCGCAATGTCCAATTTCATGTACTGGCCAAAGTCAAAGGTAGTCAGTTCAAACTGCCCGAAGTTTGAGTCATCTGATAGGAGTTCCAAAAACTTGATGACTGCAGACAATGATGAAACTGCAACCTAAGATCAAGAATAAAACAAAAGAAGCCAAACACTAGAACAGATTCTGCTGATGATTACAGCTTATATTCTAGAGACAGAAACACATTTCCAAATAGCAAAGTACAAGGAACTTTCAACACTTTCATTTGCCTTGATTGTTCTTTCCCAGTCCAAGCCAAGGAAACCAAACCAAGTTTAAACAAATCCTTAAGATTAGAAAACTGGGGCCAGAGCAATAGCACAGCAGGTAGGGGTTTGCCTTGCACACGGCCAACCCAGGCTGGCTCCCCGGCATCCCGTATGGTCCCCTGAGCACCACTAGGAGCGATTCCCAAGTGCAGAGCCAGGAGTAAGCCTTGAGCATCAACAGGTGTGGCACAAAACCAAACAAAAAAAATGTTAGAAAACAGTATTTCAGGGGCTGGAGAGATAGCACAGCGGGGAGGGCATTTGCCTTGCACGCGGCCAACCCAACTTCGATTCCCAGCATCCCATATGGTCCCCTGAGCACCGCCAGGAGTAACTCCTGAGTGCAGAGCCAGGAGTAACCCCTGTGCATCGCTGGGTGTGACCCAAAAAGCAGAAAAAAAAAAAAAAAAGAAAACAGTATTTCAGGGCCAAGAATTTAGAATAGGGTTCGAGTACTCGTCATCACATGGCATCATGAGCCAGGGAACAAATTGGCTAAATTATCAGTTGGAATGGCCCCAGGTGGGAGTTTCCCCCCACCACTATTAAAAAAATAATAATAACACCAATTGAAAAGAATTATTTTATTTAGAAAGTGATCATCTACTATAAAGAACTATTATTAGGAATCAGCCAAAAGTAGAAATTACTCAAATGTCCTAGGGCTGGAGCGATAGCACAGCGGGTAGGGCGTTCGCCTTACACGCGGCCAACATGGCCGACCCGAGTTCGATTCCTCCGCCCCTCTCGGAGAGCCCGGCAAGCTACCGAGAGTATTCGATATGCCAGACACAGTAACAACAAAGTCTCCAATGGAGACGTTACTGGGCCCGCTCGAGCAAATCGATGATCAACGGGAGGGCCTTTACCCTTTACCCTTTACCCTCCACCAAGAACAAAATGACTAGGCTTGTCCGTGCTACAGAATACCACACAGTAATACGGGGCTGAAGAGTAGGACACGGGAAGGTGCTGGCCTTGCACACAGCCACCTGGCTTCAACTTCCGGCATCCCGTATGGTCCCGAGACCCCCACACATTCTTCCTAACAGCAGAGCCAGGAGTGATCCCTGGCATCACCAAGTGTGCCCCACACATACAGAAATACACACACACAAAAAAAACTCAGGCAGCTCTAAAAGCTTCTTCAGATTTTCAAGTTTGCTGTGATCCATACTGATATTAGACTTATGTGGAGGGAAGGGCGCACCCCCAGGGTGTAAGGGGACGGAATGCAGTATGGGAAGTAGGAGCTTCACGCAAGGCAAGTGCCTCAGCCTTCATATTATCTCCCCAGCCCTACTTGATTTCTTTAACGATTTTCATTAACTTTCTTCATGTCAGTGTCTATGACCCCAGGTACCTAAGCCAACATGTAGTAAGAATAAACTCCTAGGACCGAGAGACAGCCAACTGGCAGCATGGGCTTTTGCACACAGGAAGCCCACGTTCAATCCACAGCATGAAATATGGTACCCAGAGCACTTACAGGAATAACCCAGAACTGCTGGGTGTGGCCCCAAATCTCCCCTCACACCCCCAAAAGAGAAAAACTTCAGTTGGGCCAGGGACCTAAACTGTAAAGCATACATGAGACTTGGGTTCTATTCCTTGTAGCACAGGGGAAAAACTTCAACCACAAAAAATCCCACATGCAGTCAGCGTTTGAATATTCATTTCTGCCTCCGAGCACAGATAACCAACCAATGCCAACTTTTGAGTCACACTATATATTTGTATAATACATATTATACAAATTATAAATATTATACAAATTATAATGTCATACAAATATACAATGACTGTGTGCTACAAATTACTACATGTACTTTCACTTTTCCTTCTCAATCTCTCTAACAATCTTTCAAGTCATGGTACTGTTCACCTTATTTAACAATGAAAACTGCATCTCATAAAGGTAAAACCATTTATTTAAGACTTCACAGTTTAGGGGCCGAAGTGATAGTAGAGCGGGGAGGGCATTCTGCCTTGCATGCAGCTGACCTATTTGGACCCCCGGCATCTCATATGGTCTCTACGCCCTCCGGAAGTGATCCCTGAGTGCAAGCCAGGAGAAAGTCCTGAGTATCACCAGATTTGGTCCAAAATCCAGGACCGCCCAGAGGGAAAAACGCCTCCACAGCTTGTGCATTTTAAAACTTTGATAAATTTCCTCCTTTGGTCATTATCCTGTGTACTTGTAGAAGTGACAGTTGCCAGCCTTTAAAGGCGCTGAAACTCTTCTTTGCCCTGCAGACATACTGAGTACAACGAAATGACATTTTATTATTATATTGCTGTTACATGGTTCTTCATTAATGGTATATTAAAATTTTTCCATTCATTGCAAGTTTTCAAAAAGTTGCAGAAAGATAAAATAAGCTTAATTTCAGTGAGCCATATTTTCACTTTAGCGATATAAGTAAGAAAAGAAACCTTCTAAAAACTCATGATTTTCATTTAAAAATAAACACACAATGGCAATCCACATACCTGATTCTCCATTTCTGGCAAGACAGCGCTATTCACCTGCTCTCCTTTTTTGCCTTTCAGTAGTCGGTTAAGGTCCTGATAAATGTCTTTTGTGGAAAAGTCGGTTCTTTTTCTCTCTGTGATCAGAATTCCACTTCTTTGAATAACCTGTTTCACAAGAACCATTTTAAATTACTGTGGGAGAAGGGGAACTGAAACTGACAACTACAGTGTGACAACAGTTTAATAAGTACTAACCCACATTAAATTCATAGGCAATAGACAAGACATTTCACCGTATGTATAATAAACACTTAAAATCTGCAAGCTAAACTTTTACATAAATTTAAAATTATCTTCACATGAAGTCTTTCAAAAATAGCCCCAACAGCAACAACTCTTAACAGAATACTTCATTTAAAATTGTTTACATATGGGGTATGGTGCCACGAGCAGGTCAATCTGTACCTGTGAGGCGAGTGCATCTGCAACCTGATGGAGCCTTCAGACTTCCAGATACCCCAAAATTGCTGCTGTGCCTTTGGCCAGACCCCAAAAACTTGGGGCAAAGTTTACCAAGAAAGTAAATGGCCAAAAGTTAGGTATGTGGGAAACACACCCACAAACCACCTCCGGCTCAGCTATATAATTGGAGGCAAGGCCTCTTTGGTTCCTGATTGAACTGCTTAATGGACATGATCCCAGAGACTCAGAAACGAATCTCAGAACCCAGTGGCTTTAGGTAGAAATGCGTCTGGTCTCTGCAGTAGGCTACTGGTGCTGGGCCAACCCAGGTGGGAATAGGTTTCGTGCCTTGGCCTATTCCCCCTGGCGGCCCAGTGGCCGCCATCTGTCTGAGGCCACTGGAGAGTCACATTTGGGCCCCCAGTGACGAGACACACAGGGCCTCACGGGATGAGGGTGGAGCCGGGCTTGTCCTCCCCACCCCAACGAGACCCCAAGTCATTGCCCACAAATGGCCTCTCTGGCTCCTGATCAAGCTGCTTAATGGCCATGATCCCAGAGACTCAGAAACAAATCTCAAAACCCAGTGGCGATTGGCAGAAATGCATCCGGACCTCACAGCAGGTTACTGTCCCCGGGCCACCCCAGGGAGGAAAGGGTGTTGTCCCTCCGCCTGCTCCCTCTTGGCGACTTGGTGGCTGTCATCCTGCAGAGGCCATTGGACAGTCAGGTTTGAGCCTTCAGTGACGAGACACACAGGGATGGGGCCTCACGGGATGGGGGTGGAGCCGGCCCTTTCCTCCCCATCCCAATGAGGCCCTGAGTCGCCATCCATGAACTGTCTTTCTGGCTCCTGATCAAGCTGCTTAACGGCCATGATCTCAGAGACTCAGGAACAAATCTCGGAACCCAGCAGGTTTTGGAGAAATCCTTCCAGATTTAAGTGTTAAAATTTCAAAATTTCAAAATCACGTGGCCACTACAGCAGCCACATGACATCATATGTTATTCATAACCAGCAATAGAAAACAAATTGTCTACCTTTGCCTTTTCAGCAGATCTGAGTGTTGGGGTAAAATCTCAAATAATAATGGTGGATCTGGTGTAAAAATATTGAATGTAAACAAAGTAGAGAGAGAGTAATGTAGAAATCATCTGCCCCACAGGTAGGGGGAGAGTGTGGAATGGAGGCATAGTGGGCTTTTTGGGGGTGGAGAATGGGCACTGGTGAAGGTACGGGTGTTTCATTATATGACTGAGACTTAAACCCGAAAGCTTTGTAACTGCTCTCATGGTGATTCAATAAATAAAATAAAAAATAAAAAAATAAAAAAGATGGAGTTCATGCCCAATTCAATCAGCTAATCAGTGGCTGAATAAATAGCAGTACTCCTACATTAAAAAAAATTGTTTACATAGGGGCTGGAGCTATAGCACAGCAGGTAGGGCATTTGCCTTGCACACAGCCAACCCGGGTTTGATTCCCAGCATCCCATATGGTCCCCTGAGCATCTGGCAAGGAGTAATTCCTGAGTGCAGAGCCAGTAGTAACCCCTGTGTATCACCGGGTGTGATCCAAAAAGCATAAATAAATTAATTAATTTAATTTAATTGTTTACATAGGGGCCAAAGTACACCTCAGGTAGAGTGCTTGCCGTGCAAGCAGCCCACCTGGGTTTGATCCCCAGCATCCCACATGGTCCCCTGAGCACCACCAGGAGTGATTCCTAGAGTTGGTGATTCAAAAACCAAAATAAATAAGTAGATTAATTAAAATAAAATTGCTTAGGTAGGTGCCAGAGACATAGTGTAGAGGGTTTGGCACTTAGCTTGCATGCAGCTGACCCGGGCTCAAGCCCCAGAACCCCACCCAATGGTTTCCAGAGCCCCTCCAGGAGTGATTCCTGAGCACAGAATCAGGAAACAGCACTGAGCACTGCTGGGTGTGACCCAAAAACCAAAATAAATAAAACTGTGTAGATAAGAGCTATTTAGGGGCTAGAGCAATGGCACAGTGGGTAGGGCGTTTGCCTTGTACGCAGCCGACCTGGGTTTGATTCCCAGCATCCCATATGGTCCCCCGAGCACCGCCAGGAGTGATTCCTGAGTGCAAAGCCAGGAATAACCCCTGAGCATCGCCGGGTGTGACCCAAAAAGCAAAATAAAAAAATAAATAAAATAAAAAAGAGCTATGCTAAAAATGTTCATAAGGGTCAGAGAGAGCGTCCACCAGGCTGAGTACAAGCTTTGCACACCAGAGATCTGGGTTGATACCTGGCATCACATGTCTCTGAGCACTACCTAAGGGGTAGTTCCTGAGCACGCTAGATGTGGCATAAAAAAACACAAACAAAACATGCCCACCATAGACTTGCTATTCAACTCGGTTTGACGTCCCTCCCCAAAAAGAACCTCTAGGGGATATGCCATCCCTTAAGAAATAATAAAGGAATAATAAAGGTCCAGGGAGACGGCAGGAAGAGCTGGGGGGGGCGGGGGGCATGCTCACACCCTCCTTACATGCCAGAGCCCCAGGTTCAGAACATCCTACTGGGTCTGATCCAAAAACCAAAAAGAAAATGAATATCGAATTACCCATGTATTCACACCAATGGCACACTCAGAATTTTGTTACACTATGTGAAACGAGGCTTTATAAATACTCCCAGCACTGCCACGGACAAACAAAACAAACAAAAAAAAAGAGAGGAAGGGGCAAGAGCATTAATACAGAGGGGGGTGGGGGGCAGTTGGGTGCAGTTGGCTGCGGTGCACGGGGCAGACCCGGATTTGATCCCCAGCACCCTATATGGTCCCCTGAACCTGCCAGAAGTGATCCCTGAGTGCGGGGTGGTCAGGTATGGCCCAAAGGGTAAAATAAAATTTACAAACTAAATATAAGGCCCTACTTGAACTATCAAAAATAATTCTGGGGGCTGGGGGGTGGTTGGAAGGAACCCCTAGACAACAGTGGAAGGAAGGATGTTCGGCAGAGCACTGGTGTTGGGACGCCGTGTTCATGGAGCCCAATCATTAACGTTATTGTTAATGACTGGGCTTTAAATCACATGAAGTAAATAAAATCCACCCCAGGGACCAGAGCCATAGAACAGTCGGGAGAGCATTGGCCTTGAACACAGCCGACCCGGGTTCGATCCCCGGCATCCCATATGGTTCCCCCGAGCACCACCAGGAGTAATTCCTGAGTGAGGAGCCAGGAGTGACACCTGAGTGCTGCTGGATGTGGCCCCAAGACAAAAAAAATAAAAAGAATCATCCCAGGGCCTGAGAGATAGTACTGGAGTTAGGGCACTTGCCTGGCAGGCAGCCGACCCCAGGACGACCCCTGGCACAACATATGTCCCCAAGCACCTACAGAGGCCATTCCTGAGCACAGAGCCAAGAGAAGCCCCGAGTAGTGCCTGATGAGGCCGACTCCCCTCAAAAAGAGCAAGAAACCTGAATCTTATTTGATGAAACCATGCTAGACGAATCGCACAAAGATTAATAAAGCAATACCGGTTTCTTCTCCTTCCCTGCCTTAAATCGCCTCTTCCCCCATCACTTTGCAAAGACCACCATGTTTTTAGAAACAAAAGGACAGACAGAGCAAGGAAGAAAAAGTGGGGGCCGGGAGGATCACAACACGCTCTATTAAAAATACAAAATTTCTGGGGCCAGAGCAATAGTATAGCAAGTAGGTGTTTGCCTTGCACGCAGCCGACCTGAGTTCAATTCCTGGCATCTCATATAGGTCCCCAAGCACTGCCAGGAGTAAGTCCTGAGTACGGAGCCAGCAATAACCCCTGAACATCACTGGGTATGACCCAAAGAGAAAAAAAAAAAAATTCTGTCAGAGACACATCCAGAAACTCCTCAGGAGATACTAGGAGCAGCCTCTTGGGTCTGAGCCCTCAGCACCACACCAACCCCTCCCTACCCCCTCCCTGCCCCCTTACCTGCCGCAGCTTCCCCAGTTCTCCAGATGCCTCCCCGGCAGGGAGGACACACTCCTTGGGCCCGATCTGAATCAGGAGCGCCTCCAGGTTGGAGAACTGATCATTATCCGGGAACTCGCACAGGCCGAGCTTCCTGTCCAGGGCATCTACGTAGCCAATGCCCACCTGCCGCTGGCCATCCACGGAGGACATCTTCACACCCACCACACCAATGGCTGCCGACGTGTCGTTGTTCCCAAAAAGGATGTCTTCAAACTGAGAAAGGTTCCCAGGGGAAGCCTAGCGAAAATAAGGAGTAACGTTCAACTGTTCGAGACGCTTTGAAATGTGACCAGCAGAGGGGATACTGGTGGAAGGAAGGTCACACTCGAGGTGTTGGAACACTGAACGCTTGAAACAACTCTGAAATCAACAACTTTGTAAACCAGTGTTTTTAATAAAAAATTAATTTCTTAAAAAATATTACCAGCAGACCAGAATTACCCACAGCCTTGATGAATTTTTATTGATAAAATAATTTCTTCCCCCAAAGTGGCTTATAACATGGATTCCATTGATTATAAACATTTCTCTAAAGTATCTCCCCTGGGACTGAAGAGATAGCACAGCGGGTAGGGCGTTTGCCTTGCACGTGGCCGACCCGGGTTCGATTCCCAGCATCCCATATGGTCCCCTGAGCACCGCCAGGAGTAACTCCTGAGTGCAGAGCCAGGAGTAACCCCTGTGCACCGCCAGGTGTGACCCAAAAAGAAAAAAATAAAATAAAATAAAAAATAAAGTATCTCCCCTGCTTTGCTAGTTATTTTCAGGATCCTGAGCACATCTGAAAATGACCACATCAGGGCTGGAGCAATAATAAGGTGGGCAGGGTACCTGCCTTGCACACAGCTGATCCAGGTTCGATCCCTGTACCCCAGACGGTCCCCTGAGCCTTACCAGGAGGAGCCAGCACCATTTGTGGGTGGAAAACTTAATTAAAAATACATAAAGTAAAAGAAATTTTAAAAAATACATAAAAATGTGGCCTAGAGAAATTAAGACAGCCACTTAATAAGCAAAACAAAGTAATACCATCTCCTGGATTTTTCAGTTTTAGGGCCACACCCAGCAGTGCTTGCGGTTTACTCCTGCTCTGTGCTCAGGAACCACGCCCGATCCTATCTAGCTCCTTGAATACTTGCATTTAATGAGCCTTTCAAGTTACACAGAGGAATACACTGACCAATAAACACACTCCAGATTGATAAAAAGTACAAGCTACTAGATAGAAAAAGATGGTGTGCGACAAAGAGTATAAACGATACACATTTGAATACTGTACATATGAGTAATACTCAGAAGCAGTAACAACATACACTTTAATGTTGGCATTCAACTTTATGTAAAAACTATTATTATTTGGCTCAGAAACAGGGACATCAGAGTATTCATACGCAAAATAAAGATCTACTAATTCCAGTCTTGGGGCTTGGTTTGCTTTACTTTGCTTCGGGGTCATACCCAATAGTGCTCAGGGGTTACTCCTGACTTTACGCTCAGGAACCACTCCTGGGGATGCTCCGGAGACCATAAGTGATGCCGTGATTCAAACCCAGATCACATGCAAAGCATGCACTCTCCCTACCCACTGTACTATCTCTCCAGCCACACAAGCTAAGAGCTATTAAAGTTTCTCAAAGTATTTTACTATCCCAGAATAGTTAAAATGTTAACATGCAGGGGTTGGAGACATAGTACAGCGGGTAGGGCGTTTGCCTTGCATGCAGCGGACCCGGGTTCGATTCCCAGCATCCCATATGGTCCCCTGAGCACAGCCAGGAGTAACTCCTGAGTGCAGAGCCAGGAGTAACCCCTGTGCATCGCCAGGTGTGACCCCCCCCAAAAAAAAGTTAACATGCAGAGTACTCGCATTCTTCTACTCTTAAAATTTTAAAGAAAGAAAATTACCTTATATGCCAAATACCAATCATTCTCCTTGGATGCCTTATTTCCAGCTCTGTTCTTAAACACTTCAACTCTATACTGACGAACTAGAAGCAGATCTTTTACAAAAGACTCAAAGTTCATCTTACTCAGCACAACACTCTCCAGCGTCTTTGCTCCTAGAGAAAAATATTAAAAACACATGTTACCAAGTTGAGGATGTGAAGCCGCGAGTGTTCAAGCACCCAACACAGGGGTGCTGGAGAGATAGCACAGCGGGTAGGGCGTTTGCCTTGCACACGGCCAACGGGTCCAATTCCCAGCATCCCATATGGTCCTCTGAGCACCACCAGGAGTATAACTCCTGAGTGCAGAGCCAGAAGTAACCCCTGTGCTTTGCTAGGTGTGACCCAAAAAACAGAGAAAGAAAAAGCACCCAACACAAATGTTTCCAAAGTGACAATGGGGTACCCTCTGTACTCACTCAATATCTCATTCAACAGACAGGTGTGCCAGGCACCTGGTTAATTGAGTCCTGGGCGGGGGAGACAGTAGAGATTAAAGCACCTGCCTTGAAGGCAGTTGCAGGCAAAACACTGATTTGAATCCAAGCATACTTGCGGTCCCCCAAGCACCACCAGGTGTGAGACCCTTCCCACCAAAAAAGGATCAGGTTAACTAGTATAGTGGGTGGGCATATGACAACCCAGGTTATATCCCTGCATTTCCTATGGTCCACTGAGACCTTAGGAGTGATCCCTGAGTACAAGCCAGGGCTGGACTCTCCCACCACCACCCCCAAAAACAATGAGGACCAATGAGGCTGGAGAGATGCTACTGGTACAGTGGGTAGGGTGCTTGCCATGCACACAGCCAGCCTGGGTTTAATCCCCAGCATCCCATCATCTCATATAGTTTCCAGAACACCACCAGGAGTGATTCCTGAGCACGCAGCCAGGAATACGTCCTCAGCATCACTGGGTGTGGCAAAAAAAAAAAGAAGAGTGAAGACTGTGTCTAATAAACTCCAACACATGCCTCGCTCAATACACTTTACCTGATGAAGAAGCATCTTTCATAGCATCCCATTCCCAAGGGCAGTAACCCCAGACTCCGCAAGGCCTTCCTCCTGGCCTCCAGGAATTTCTTTCCCTTCCCACTCTCAAACAGCTAACAGGCCTGTACCCACACCCAAGGAGGAGCCTGCAGCTCTCGGGCAGATGGTGGAGATGGGGTTATGGAGAGCACAGAGCTCCCTGCCTAAACCCTTGACAGTTCATGAAATTTGCTTGTAAGTGGACGGACACGGAGAGTATCATGCTAAGTGAAATGAATCAGAAAGAGAGGGACAGACATAGAATGACTGCACTCATTTGTGGAATATCAAATTACATAACAGGAGACTAACACCCAAGCACAGTAGAGACAAGGCCAGGAATATAGGTCCTTGGTTGGAAGCTGCCTCATGAGATGGGGGAGAAGGCAGCTGGGATGGAGAAGGAACCACTGAGTCAATGATGGTTGGAAGGATCGCTGGGGATGGGAGTTGTGTGCTGAAAGTAGACTAAGGACCAAATGTGATGGCCTCTCAGTATCTGTACTGCTAACCATAAAGCCCAAAAGTAGAGAGAGAGTAGAAGGAAGGTGTCCGCCACAGAGGCAGGGGGTGGATGGGTGGGGGTGTCAGGGGGGATACTGGGGACATTGGTGATGGGAAATGCACACTGGTAGAGGGATGGACGCTGGATCATTTCATGACTGAAACTCAATCATGAAAGCTTTGTAACAGTATCTCACGGTGATTCCATTTCTAAAAATTAATTCAAATCAATTTAAAAAACCACACATATAAATGATAAAAGTTTTCAACTGAAAAAGTAAATTTAAGAAAACCAACACTTGACAGTCTATAAACTAGCCCAAGAACATCTTCGGCTAAAAAGTGTCGCTGCTAAGCCTCCAGCTCGCTGCGGAGCCCGAATACAGCAGCCCTACAACCGGGATCCGGCTCGGGGGCCAGGTCCAGCTCGCGGACGATAGCCAGGGCCGGTCCCCGGCTCCGGCGGCGGGAGCAAGGATGCGGCGGGAGGACGGACGAGCGGGAGGAGCAAGGATGCGGCGGGAGGACGGACGAGCGGGAGGAGCAAGGATGCGGCGGGAGGACGGACGAGCGGGAGGAGCAAGGATGCGGCGGGAGGACGGACGAGCGGGAGGAGCAAGGATGCGGCGGGAGGACGGACGAGCGGGAGGAGCAAGGATGCGGCGGGTGGACGGACGAGCGGGAGGAGCAAGGATGCGGCGGGAGGACGGCCGAGCGGGAGGAGCAAGGATGCCGCGCCCCGACGCGGTCCCAGCCCCAGCCCCCGCCGACCCGGGGCTCTCGGGATGCTGCGGCGTGACCAGGCCGCGGGCCGCGCGGGCCGCGCTGGGGTGCAGGGCCGGGGCGGGCCAGCTGCCCCCACCCTCACCTGCCGGGCCCAGGTGCTTGACCACCCCCTGCGTCTTGAACACCTCGCGGGCGGCCAGCAGCGCGTCCTCGCCGTGCGCCGTGTAGAAGTCGCCGCGGTCGAACAGGCGCACCGTGGTGGCGGGCTTCTCGGCCATGCCCAGGAAGAAGCGCACGAAGCCCAGCTCGGCCGCGCCCTCCAGCTGCAGCGTGTCCTTCGGCTGCACCGCCATGGTCGCGGTCGCCCCGGCGCCGGGTCCGCCACGCCGAGCGACCCCGCACCCACCCGGCGCTTTCCCGCCGCCGCGGCCGCACCCCCGGGCAGCCGCCGGCCTCCCAGAAACGCCCAATCAGCGCCCAGCTCCCAGCCCCGGTGGGCGGGCGTCCGCCCCGGCAGCCAATCAGACGCAGACGTGGCCCGGCTTCCCGCGCACGCTGCTGACCCCCCCGACTGCGCATGCTCCAGCCGAAGTCGCCGCTGGCCGTGGCGGGGCCGTCCCTGAGGTCGCTGCTCCGGGCAGAGCGGGCTCTCGCCTTGCATGCCGTTGCTGCGGGTTCGGTTCCCATGACTGGTCAGCCCTGAGCACCGCCGGGTGTGGCCTGAGATTTAAAAAAAAAATCAGTTCAAGGGTTGCGGGGGAGCTGCACCGGCGGGGGAGCCAGGTGTTGCGTTGTTGAGTAATTTTTTAAAATCTGACCTCTTTGCATCCTCACTACAAATGTGACCTTCTCGGACCGAAGTGCGTCCTACCTAGTGGTATTTTCTGTCTGAGGTTGACTCCGAAGATGCAGAACTCAGCAGAGGGAGGGGCAACTCGGAGCCTTTTGGAAGTAAGTATTAAGGAGAGAGGAAAACAAGGGTGGTTTCAGGCTTTTGTTTTGGGGAGCCCACACCCGGTGATGCTCGGGGTTCCTCCTGGCTCTGCACTCGGGAATCACTCCTGGCGGTGCTTGGGGGAGCGTGTGGGATGCCGGGGATCGAACCCGGCTCGGCCGCGTGCAAGACTGACGTCCTCCCCGCCGTCCTACGGCTCCGGCCCCGGGTGGGGCGGGGGCTGGAGGGGGTGTGGCTCGGATTTTGCTTTGCCCGAGTGAATATTCGACAGCGATGGCAAGGACGCTCCACCAGAGTTACCTGCTTTTGCAACAGGTGTTGGAGTCCCTGGGCCGGCGGCGGAGCCGGACCTTGGCAGCGGTTGGCGCCCCGCAGCCCACCCCGTCCGCCCTGCCCGGGAGCCCGGGGGCGCATCCCAGGCGGCGGGAAATTGTTTGGGCAATTTAAACACCCTTTCTTCAACTTAATCTCGGGGATTATCCCCGAGCCTTTCAGAGGCGCCCGGGGTCTGAATGGTGAAGGCTGAGTCTGGATCTTTTCCCAAGTCGACCCTCAACCCGGAGCTGGGCACAGTGACCACCACCTCTGTTCAGGAAACACTGACCTGATTAAATTGCAATTACAACATGAACGGATTAAAATCCAAGCAGAGAAAGTTGAAGCTAGCTACTGGCTACAGCTTGCTGTATTCCCAACTTTTTTTTTTTTTGGTCTTTTTGGGCCACACCCAGCGATGCTCAGGGGTTATTCCTGGCTCTGTGTTCAGGAATTACTCCTGGAGGGTCTCCGGGGGGCTTATGGGAATTGAACCCGGATTGGCCGCGTGCACACCTGGTGTCCTGCTGTCCTGACGCTCGCGCCACCCTTGGTGTTTTCCTGAACTGCAAATGCATCATCTTGCCCCTGTGCTAGAGTATCTGCAGTTTGTCAGCAGAGGGCGCAGAGTCACTGCCTGAGGCGAGGTGCATCCCTCCCTCTCCCTCCTCCCAGCCCTGAAAAGGCGGCACCGCAGAGGGGAGCTACTGGTGCCCCAGGCCAGCCGACTTCCTGTACAGGACCAGAGTCAAACCTCAGGCTAGGTCACCAACCACTGTGAAGGGTCGGTTGCAGCTGGGGCCCCTTGGGACAGGTCTATTACAGCTACTCAAAACCAGCCATTGTCTAATGCAGAACAGCCAAGAGCCTAATGAAAACAATGGGGTATAATGAGCTCCAATACAATTTTGTGTGTGGACACAATCCTCCTCCCCCCCTCCACCCCCAACCCTTTAGAAATGCAAAAACTCTAAGCCCTATTAATCAGGTGGGGCAGCCTAAGGGCTGTAGCTGATGATCCCTGCCCTAAGGGGCAGGTTTCCAGCAATTTCCACAAAGCAAGTAAGTCATTTCAGGCTTGGCACCAGCTTCACAACTCCTTAGTAAACCGGGAGGCCTCAGATGGGAATTCCCAGCAACTTTGGGGATTGGAGAGACAGTACAGCTGTAGTGGAAGGCCCAGGGTCAATCCCCAGCACCCATGGGATCTCTTGAGACCATCAGGAGTAAGCTCTGAACAGATCAGGGTGTGCCTCCCCCCCCCCCAGGGGAAAAAAAACATCTGTAACTTTGGGCCAGAGTGAAAGTACAGGAGTTAAGGTGCTTGCCTGGTACGCTCAACCTCAGCACTACTACCTTCTCCTGACAACTGCCAGGAGTGACCTTAAGCACTAAGCCAGAAATAGCCCCTGAGCACCTCTGCATATAACGGCAAACCCTCCAAAAACCAGCACTGTAGCAGCACTGTCCTTCCGTTGTTCATGGATCTGCTTGAGCGGGCATCAGTAACATCTCCATTGTGAGATTTGTTACTGTTTTTGGCGTATCAAATATGCCACAGGGAGCTTGCCAGGCTCTGAAGTGCAGGCGGGATACTCTCGGTAGCTTGCCAGGCTCTCCAAAAGGGACAGAAGAATCGAACCTGGGTCAGCCGCTTGCAAGGCAAATGCCCTACCTGCTGTACTTTCGCTCCAGCTTCAAAAACTAGAATTTTTAAAAATCCCGTAATTTTCTACTAGCTGTAACTGCTAACACTACTCACAAAATTATCACAAAATTACCTTCTCAAGATACCACAAACTTATGGAAACCTGTTTCCATAGGTCAGAAATCAGGCCGAGCCTAATTGGGCTGTTTTTGGTCTCAGGATGTATTGCAATCCTGCTGGAACTGGGCTCCAGCTGGAACTGGGCGCTCTTCCAGGTTCACTGGCTGAGGGCTGAATCCAGTCCTGTGTTTGGGAGCCTGAGGCCCTGAGATAATCCTTTATGGCTAATAGAACAACCTGCTGTGTATTTACATTTTAAATATTTGCCCAGGGGGTGGGATGGGGTAGGGGTGTTAGGAGAGATACAGGGGACACTGGTGGTGGAGGGAAGGGTGATGGATCATTGTATGGCTGAAACTCAATCATGAAAGCTTTGTAACTTATCTCACGGGTGATTCAATAAAATAAATCAAAATAAATATTTGCCCAGCGGGGACTAGAGAAATAGGACAGGGGGCAGGTGGCCAACCTAGGTTCGATCTCCAGTATCCTATATGGTCCCCCAAACACTGTCTGGAATAATTCCTAAGTGTAGAGCCTAGAGCATTGCCAGAATCTCTTTCAGGCAGTGCTTTAAGGAACTTTATCTACAGGACGCTTTCACTCTAGTCACAGTAACATAATCTTGGAAGGACAGTCAGAGGGGAGGGGCTTAAGTAGATTTGACACAAAAGCCTAAGAAATCCTGGGGACTATCTGCAAAGCATGAGCGGTTAAGTCTAGGGGGCCAGGCAACAACTCAAAGGGCTGAGCACATGCTTTGCCTGTAGGAACCCCTAGTTCAATCCCAGCAAATTTGGTCTCCCAGCGTCTCTGATGTGGGCCCTAAACAAACAAACTAAAAAATATCCTAGGGGCTGGAGCAATAGCACAGCGGGTAGGGTGTTTGCCTTGCACGCAGCCAATCCGGGTTTGATTCCCAGCATCCCACCTGGTCCCCCGAACACCAGGAGTGATTCCTGAGTGCAGAGCCAGGAGTAACCTCTGAGCATCACCAGGTGTGACCCAAAAAGAAAATATATATACATATATACATACATACATGTAAACATATATGTACATATATATATATACACACTGGAGACTAGCACAGCGGTAGGGCATTTGCCTTCCGCACAGCCACCATGGCCAAGCCAGGTTCAATTCCTCTGCCCCTCTCGGAGAGCCTGGCAAGCTACCGAGGATGAACAACGGGAGGACAGTGTTTGAGATATATATATATATATATATATATATCTCCTAACTACTTTAAGAGCTGGGGGCTTTGGATCACACCAGGCAGTGCTCAGGAGTTACTTCCTGACTCTGCTCAGGGATCACTCCTGGGGGTGCTAAGGGGATGATCAAGACATCAAACCAGGATCAGGTACAGGTAAGACAAGTGCCTTACCTGCTAGACTCTCCCATTCCCCTAATGTCCTTGCTTAGGCCACACCCAGCGGTGCTCAGGACTTAATTCCTAGCTCTGCATTCAGGGATCACTCCTGGTGGGGTGAAGAGGACCATAGGTAGTACCAACCCCTCGCATTATTTTTTATAATTTCCAGCAAAAGTAAAACTGTTCAGGATACTGTAACTTCATATAAAATGTGTTAGAACCATAATTATTTCTTCTGTAAGGTGCTGCTTCTAATTCAACGAACCATAGAATTCAAGGTTCATTCTCCAATTCTGCTGGTCAAATTCTAATCTTTCTCTAAAGCAGAACTTTTTTTTTGTTTTTGTTTTTTTTCTTTTTGGGTCACATCTGGCGATGCACAGAGGTTACTCCTGGCTCTGCACTCAGGAATTACCCCTGGCAGTGCTCGGGGTACCATATGGGATGCTGGGAATTGAACCCGGGTTGGCCGCGGGCAAGGCAAACGCCCTACCCGCTGTGCCATCGCTCCAGCCCCTAAAACAGAACTTTAGATTCACTCATTGGATCACCAGCACCCCATATGTACCTCTGAGCACCACCAGAATGAGTGCAGAGCAGGAGTAAGCACTGAGCACCACCAGGTATGGCCCAAAAACCAAAAATTTCAAAAAAATGAAATTGAATCCAATGAAATTACATGTTACTCGGTATACGTCTTTTTTGGTTTCAGGGTAGGGGGCACACCCAGCAGCTGCATACACGTCAAGTGTGCTACCTCCTTTACTCTCTCTCTGGCCCTTAGATCCCTCGACATTTATCTTATATTGAAAACACGCTGGTATTCAAATCATCTCTTACTGGGGAGTGGGTAACCTAGAGCTTTTTGGTTTGGAGGGGACCACACCCAGCATTGCTGAGGGGTTACTCCTGGCTCTGCTGCACTCAGGAATCACTCCTGGTGGTGCTCAGGGGACCATATGGGATGCTGGGGATCAAACCAGGATGAGCTACATGCAAGGCGAGTACCCAACCCACTGTACCAGCACCTCCCAAACATTTTTCTTCCCCCTTTAGTCTTTGGACCACACCTAGCAGTGCACAGAGGACCATTCAGTGCCAGGATAGAACCCGAACCTCTTGAAGGCAAAGCAGGAAGAAATACGATTCATCATGACTCAAAGTTAGGAAATTCAGTTTTAAAATGTTTTATTTCATAGTTCATAAAAAAAGGTTTATATGTACAAGACTCAAAGTAAATTGAAAGGCAGCTTTCAATCATGAATGGATGAGGCAGTCGTTATTCAAAGTCTACAGAGAATGGAAGCGTAGTTAATGCACACTTCAAAATTATGCTAATTTAAAATACGCAGTCAAGTTCTGGGTTTTACATCAGATCTAATCTGCCTACAGCTATGACACCTGTAAATTTTAAGATTGATAAAGTCCATTTCAAGCTGCTTATATCTGTGTACACATGTCACTGTTACAAACGTGCTATGAACTAACGAAGCAGAAGTCTTTGAAGATCTTCTCTTGGTCCCAGAGATCATCTATCTGTAATCCAAATCTATTTACTCAGTCTGCTTCTGTGCACTCTTGAAAACAGTAGCTCACGAAAGTTCCCGACGCATCTCACCCATCTCCTTTATCTGAAATAAAGGGGGTAGGGGGCAATATGTTAACTTTTCAATCGTTTGTAAACTCTGGAGAAAAATTTTAAGAGAAACTATTAAAGAAAGCAAGATGATTCTCTTCTACGTTTCCGAGACTTTTAGGTATGTGATTTAGCTATTTAGAGGTAAGGTGGCCAAGGAGACAAGCAGTAGAGAAGGCAGACCTTTAACATGGTTAAGGCACTTGTTAAACTTGTGCCTTTTATTTGTTGGGGGAACGGGGGCATGCTCAGGCATGCTCAGGACTTACTACTGGCTCTGAACTCAAGAATTACTCCTAGGGGGCTGGAGCAATAGCACAGCGGGTAGGGCGTTTGCCTTGCACACAGCCAACCAGGGTTCAATTCCCAGCATCCCATATGGTCCCCTGAGCACCGCCAGGGGTAATTCCTGAGCGCAGAGCCAGGAGTAACCCCTGTGCATTGCCAGGTGTGACCCAAAATGCAAAAAAAAAAATTACTCCTAGCAGTGCCCTGAGGACCATAAGGGATGCCAGATATTGAACCCGGTCAACTGCATGCAAAGCAAATGCCCTATCGCTGTACTGTCGCTCCAGCCCAAACTTGTGCCATTTTTAAAATCTAGGTAGAACAATTCATTTTGTTAGAATCTTCATTTGCTGCGCTGTTGTGGGGAGTCACAGAGGGAGGAGAGGGGGTTTGGGACCAGACCTGGCAGGCTACTCCATCAGAGCTTATCGAACCATGCAGTGCTGGGAACTCAAACCAGGGCCAGCCACGTGCAAGGGAAGTACCTTGCCCCTGCATTTTCTCTTCTACACCCCTCAGTCTTCTATACATGAGGAAATAGATGTTCAAAAATAAATGACTTGTCCCAGGTCTCACAATGACAGGCAGGCACAAGTGAACCAGATGCCAACCACTACTGTTGGCGGGCATTTTGCCAAACACGGGACCAACTCAACAGCTGACTCCTTTCACCCTGAAACTGTCTATTCTGTCCCCACTTCAACAGGAAGGTTTGAACAGAAGTTTAGTTACTGGACCAGCTAGTGTCTGGATGGCCCCTGACCCACTACATTTGGACTTATTCAGTCCTAGACAGTGTCCTAGACCTATGGTCACCAAACCCGTAAGCCATGTAGGTTTTTTTTCAGTACTTTTACATTCTGAGTATGGTTAAATATTAGTAAATAGTATATATAGAATTTTAAAAACATAAATATACCAATCTTGATGGGCATAAGAGAAAGTCATAGGTTTCGAGGTCAAGTGTATTCAGATTCTATTCTAAGTGATAATCTCACGCTTTAGTTTCACACTAGTACGTGTCATATTTACTAAGAAATAAATTCTTAAAAAAAAAAAAAGGAAGAAATTCTTTTATTTTTTGGTTTTGGGATCAGACCTAGCAATGTGTGGGGGGACTATATGGTGCCAAAAATCAAACCCAGGGCCTTACATATATAAAGAAGGTGTTCTATCAGTGACACACATCCCTGGGCCTCTTGCCTCTTTTTTCTTTCCTTTTTTTTTTTTTTTTTTTGGTTTTGGGTCACACCCAAGCAGTGCTCAGGGCTTACTCCTGGCTCCGCACTCAGGGATCAATCCAAGCAGTGCTTGGGGGACCACATGGGATGCGGGGGACTGAACCTGGGTCGGCCACATGTAAGGCCAGCTCCCTACTCACTGTACCAAGACTCTGGGCCTGGCCCTCAGTATTCACTGGCAAAATAAATGAGGCTATTAGTCACAGTGGATTTGATGTAAGTTCACTAAAGTATGACTCCCGACATTGAGCATTGAACTGAATTTGATACCTTGTGAAATAAAGTATCAGACTTCCAATCCCATGATTCTAGAGATAGAACTCAGGATAAAGTGAGATGCCACGAAACTCATAGAAAAACTTAGGTAAGAGCCCTCATGAGTCCTTGACTCTAGAACTGCACTAGGCAAGGTCTGCAGTGTCACTGAGAGTCCTGGGTCTGAGGAGATGTAGTGATTTTTAGAAATAAGATTAAGCATCGCTTCTCAGCCCTTTGGCTAAGATAAGAGTAGAAATCAGATTAAACAAGTGCCTTTTGAATTAAGCCAACCATTTACCTCAGCCTTCTGGTACTTTGTCTTTCTGCTCCTTCTGGATATAACCTGAATGGGAGAAAGATTAATTACAACTTTCAATATGCTATCCAGGAAAAGTTTACGTAAAGTGAACAGCCCTCACGCTTTTAACATAAATAATGCTATCGGAACAAATTCAATCTTAAAAATCTATCCAATAAACTATCATTTCTCAACTTACTAGTTCTTTACTAAAGAGGGAAGCTTATCACAAGCAGAAAAACAAACCCAAAGGCTGCAAGAAAGCAATGAATAACCTGTAACACAGCTTATAGACTGCTATGCAGCCTTTCATATCTTAGTATTTTAGCATCTGTACTAGTGTTCCACTCCAACATGTACACATATGCGTGTCTTAAAGATGTAACAATGGGGACATCATTGCATTTCTGTACCGCCTAGAACAGTATCTCAAAAATCCTTCCAGATCAAAATGGGCTATTACAGAAAGTGTTTTTTTCTTTGTAGCTTTTGTATAGTAAGTGGTATGCAGCTTGTATATGTACTGCAATTTACTCCTTAATTCCCTACTGACATGTACTCAGTAAGCTTCCAAATTTTCCCATCCTGGCTAATAAACTTGAGCAGCATTCTTATGCAATGGGTTCGATTTATACAGATTAGATTTCTATGCTCATCGCTTCTCAGCCTTTTGGCCAATTGTAGATTTCTATGCCCCGTTTTCCATGTCTACTTGATATGTCAAACACTTCTGTAAACTGTTGACTCATACCTGTTGCCACTCTTTAATTTATACCCCAGTTTCTAAGAATTTATTACAGATACCATTTCCTGGTGTAGGTTTTTTTTTCAACAGTAGTAATGATGTTTTGGTTTTTTTTTTTTTTTTTTTTTTTTGCTTTTTGGGTCACACCCGGCAATGCACAGGGGTTACTCCTGGCTCTTCACTCAGGAATTACTCCTGGTGGTGTTCGGGGGACCATATGGGATGCTGGGACTCGAACCCAGGTCGGCCGCATACAAGGCAAACGCCCTACCCGCTGTGCTATCACTCCAGCCCCATGTCTTTTTTTTTTTCCTTTTCGTACTTTGACTATTTCCCCCAGTTCATCATTGGCTTTTTTGTTTTGGGGCCACAGCTTGGCAATGCTCAGGGGTTACTCATGGCTCTGTGCTCAGGGGACCATCTGGGGTGCCGGGGACGGAAGCCAGGTTGGCTGTGTGCTAGGCAGATGCCCTCCCTGCTGTCCTATGGCCTTGGCCCTCCCTGGCTCTTCTGAACACAGCCCCACACGCAGGCACGCACCCACCACTGGACTAACGCTGGGCCATTGCTGACTTCCCCTATTTTGTTGTGGGGCCACCCCTTGATGTGCCTGGAGGCCAGTGCCCAGGCCTCCCACACGCTCATGCGGAGACATGTTCATGCTCCTCTGCTCTCCAGCCCCCCAGCACTGATTTCTCACTGTGCTTTGCCACGACAAACATTTTCCTTTCTGGGGTGGGTCATATCCATCAGTGCCTGGGACCAAACCCCAGCGTCTGTGTACAGGTTAAGAGTGTTCCAGCCCTCTAAGCTATCTGGATGCCCTATTCCTTTTTATTAGAAGGGCTATAGCCAGCAGTGCTAGGGGCCATGTGGTAGCAGGATGGGACTCAGCCGAGCACTTATGCACGTACTCAGCCACCCAGTTCTCTCTCCGGCAACCAAGATGTTTCATTTTGGTGTTGTTTTTGTTTCCGATCTTTGTGTGTTTGTGCACCACACCTGGCAGTACTCGGAGGCCATAAGCAGTAGCAGGGACTCAACCAGCATCAGCTGCACCCAAGACAAGCGCCTTACCTCCTGCACTATCTCTCGGACCCTGAACAGAAAATACAAGTTTCCTCAAACTCCTGAATTCTTGTGTGTTGGCAATGCTGATGTTGAAGCATCTTTACATTTCTAGAATACTGCTTCTGTCAATTAATGTTTTCCTGAAGTAGTGCTAGATTAAATTTAGTATTAAGGGGTGAGGAGGCAGACTTTGCGTCATACCTGGCAATGCTCAGTGGCTTACTCTTGGCTCTGTGCTCAGGGGCCACTCCTAGCAGTGCTCAGCAGACCACAGGTGGAGGGTCAGCTGTGTGCAAGGGAAGCAACTTTGCCTCTATACTAGCTCTCCAGTCCCTCTATTTAGATTTTCGCTTTATGTTTCTCTTCTATTTTTTATCTATTTATTTCTGCTCTTTGGGTACACCAGCAATGCTCAGGGGTTATTCCTGGCTCCACACTCAGGAATTACAACTGGCAGTGCTTGGGGTATCATATGGGATGTCGAGGATTGAACCCAGGTCAGCTGCTAACAAGGCAAATGCCCTACCCGCTGTACTATTGATCCGGCCCTGTTTCTCACTTTTAACTCTTTATGTTTACGACTCTTAATTCTTTTCTGTGCTAACTGGAATTTCGGGGTGGCTCCATTTCACTGAGTGGATTCAGCATCCAAATATTTTATACCAATTCTGGTAGGAGTGTTTGATTGTTTGCTGTGAGTAGAACTGAAGGAAATTTGCTGTACGAAACAAACAAAACTGTCCTTTGAGATGTTAAGTTAGTCTCAAATAAGTATCCTTCATAAAATGCCTATTAGATAAAAAGCCACCAGCTCACTCACGTGGAGAGTTTTTAAAAATGAAGATTTGATTTCATTTCTGTTTTGGAGCACAGATGTAGCTCTTTCCTTTATCCTCTCTTCTTGGAAGATGGCCCTCTCATGACATTTTACTTGTTATACTCACCAGCACAACAATTCCGGCGATAAGTGCTAATGTGACAACCACAATGACAGCAATGATCCCAGCTTGCAGACCCTGCATTGAAAACTCTGGTGGTTTTTCATCAACGTAATAAATTAAAGTTCGACCAGCGTCCAAATCCAGTAGTTCCCCGTCTACTGTCAGGTCCATTTTTTTGTTAAGGAACAAGGATTCATCTTTGACCTATAGTGAGGAGAAAAGCAATTCGGAACAAAATCAACCACTGAGGGCCGAGAGCTAGTGCGGCAGTTAAGGCACTTGCCTTGCACACGGCCACCCCTGATCTGATCCCCAGCACCCCACATGGTCCCGACAGCCCTGCCAGGAATAACCCCTGCACACAGAGCCAGAAGCAAGCCCTGAGCACCACTGGATGTGGCCCAAAGGTCAAAAAAAAAGAAAACCAACCATGGACACATATAATTACACAATGATTATGGACTAGCAGCAGTACTGCCGCCAACAATCTCTGTGGTTTCCTGTGATAATAATCTCCTATGGGGGCTGAAGCAATAGTACAGCAGGTAAAGCCTGCACACAGCCAACCTGGCCTTGACCCTGGTATCACATATAGTGCCCTGAGCACCGCCAGGAATGATTCCTGAGTGCACAGCCAAGAGTAACTCCTGAGCACCTCCAGGTGTGCCCCAAAAACTTAAAATAAAATAAATACAGTGAAACTAATACACTACAGGCAAATGCCGAACACACACGAAAGTATAAACCTTGTAGTGACGTCCACATGCTTATGTCCCAGAATCAACTATACAAACATGTGGTCTATCTCATTTCATTCATTCTTCTTTCTATCCTGTCAGCCCGCCTCCCTCAGGCCAGATTTAAAGCAAATCTGAGATTCTCAGGAAACAGCTTCCTGTGCTACAACTCTTTACCCACTATAGGATCTCTCTGGTCCCAGATGAAGGACTTTAATCATATTAGTCATACATTTTTAACATAGTATCTTTGGTGAGTTGCTTTTTGCTTTTTTTTTGAGCCACACCTGGAGGTATTCAAGGGCTACTTCAGCCCAGGGCTCAGGGGAGGATGCTGTGAGCCAAGGATCCAACCTGAGCCAAGCGTGGGCTCTCCTCTCCACTGCACCTTCTCATGTGGTCTCTCATTCACAGAAATACAACAGGGGAAGACTAAACCAACTAGTACTAAGTAACTGCCAAGGGTAAGAGGTAAGAATTACAAGAACATATTCTAGGTAGAGCCGTTTGATGAAAAGGTATAAATCCACAATTATGGTAAGAAAGAGGACTGCGGGGCCAGGGAAACAGCCCCAAGAGCTGCAGCACGCATGAAGGCTGCAGGAGGCCTGGGTCAGGCCCTGACACCATGCAGTCCCCCCAGAAACAAGCAAAGAGTAGCCCCCCGGTATCAGAGACAAGGACAGACCGCCCTGCCCCCCCCCCCTTCAACCCCCGAGGAGAGAGGGGCCAGCTCAGAGGGCGGGAACTCAAGTCGGACAGAAGGAGGCCAAGTTCAATCCCCAATACGGCAGGGGCCCTTGGTGCCCCAGCACCTTGGACATGGACCCTGGGACCCCGTAAACACTGCTGGGAGCACCCTTAAAAAAAAGGCAAAAAAGGCAAAAAGGCTATAGTAAAAAGTACAATAGCGGGGACAGAACCGACCACAGCACAAGAGCCATTTGGAGAGGAGACAGAGATAAGTGTGTCTATTAGGCAGGAGCGAGAGCACAGCGGGTAGGGTGCTTGCCTTGCACGCAGCCGACCTGGGCCGACCCGGGTTCAATTCCTCCGCCCCTCTCGGAGAACCTGGTAAGCTACCGAGAGTATCGCACCTGCTTGGCAAAGCCTGGCAAGCTAACCATGACATATTTGATATGCCAAAAAACAGTAACAAGTCTCACAATGGAGACGTTACTGTTGCCTGCTCGAGCAAATCGATTAGGCAGGAGAGGTCTCCAAGGGGTCAGGCAGAGGAGGGAGCTATCTGTACGTAACAGAGAAGTCCGAGAGATTTGGAGAGAGCCGCACACACATCAGCCAGAAGAGAGGTTTCTCTCTAAAGGAGAAACAGTGAAAGAGCTTGAGTCCACTGAGGCATAACAGACATTATTAAATAAACAAACAAACAAAAAAAAACCTGGGGAACATTATACTCACATCTTTTTCAAAGTAATAAGCCACATCAGCTATATCCACATCATTCTGGTTTTTTTGAGTGGAGTTTTGCATGAGATCAATAGTGATAACATCATTCTCATACTGCGAAGAAAACAGGAAAACACAAATTAACAACATAATCAAAATCACAAGAAGGTTTCATTGTCCTAAGAGCGGAACAATCACAGTTTAATTTTCTGTAACCTAAACAGGTGGGTGTTTTATTCCGTTAGTGAGTACCTCAGTTTATCACTCATTTCATTTTGTTAAATCTCTGGGTAAATCTATTGAAGGAAGTAAGACTACAATGCAATTACAATGAACATTTTCTTTTTCCTTTTTTTTTTTTTTTTAATTTTTGGGTCACACTCAGCGATGCTCAGCAGTTACTTCTGGCTCTGCACTCAGGAATCACTCCTGGCGGTGCTCGGGGGACCATATGGGATGCTGGGAATCAAACCCAGCTCAGCCACATGCAAGGCAAACGCCCTACCCGCTGTGCTATCACTCTAGCCCTTGCGGTCTTGCACAAGGCCAACCTGGGTTCGATTCCCAACATCCCCTAGGGTCCCCTGAGCACCACCAGGAGTAATTCCTGAGTAACCTCTGTGAATCATGGCCCAAAAAGCACATAAATAAATAAATAGACAGAATCACTAAAAGCCACTACCAAAAGGGCACCAAACCATGCCGTCTACCAATTTTCTAACACATCCAAAAAATCTTACCTGGGGACTGGACTGGATCGTGCAGCCTGCCTTGCACACTGCTAGCCCTGGTTCAATCCCCATCACACCTATGGTCCCCTGAGCCCCGCTAGGGTAAGTCCTGAGCACTGCCGGGTATGACACCCCCAAAAATAAATAAAAATATCTTACCAAAATGTTTTGGATATATTTTGGATCCAGTTGATAACGAGATGACATTACTTGCGTGAGTGCTCTGTAAGGAAAAATTTGTGTTTAAAAAAATGTCTATATTTTATTTATAACATTAAGAACACATTTGGCGCTTTGTTTGTTTTCGAAGAATCTGTGGAACTCAGGGAGGGTCTCAGTGGTAAATATGAGAGACCATAGTCCTAGAACCTCAGGGACAGTAAAGAAACCATCTGCCAGGGCCAGAGCAATAGGACAGTAGGTAGGGGACTTGCACTGCAGGCAGCTGACCCAGGTTCGATCCCCGGTATCCTGTATGGTCCCAAGCACTACCAGAACTGACTCCTGAATGCAGAGCCAGGAGTCGCCCAAAATGCAAAAAGAAACAATTTCTCTATGTTCTTCAAAAATATCAGTACAATAAAAAAAATAAAGAGTAAGATAGCATCCATTAAGATATAACAATAACTAAGCAATAACAAACTAAATACAACAAATAATCCTATCTGGCTCCTGAACCAGAGGACAGCAAACAGCTACAAAGAACAATTTGTGAACTTTACACAATGACAGTAAAATTACATTTCAGAATTTGGGCAATTAGGGCTGGACCGATCACTCAGAACACTGAGTGCAGGCTTTCCAAGAGAGAGACATGGACTCAGTCACAGCCAGAGTGATCCCAAGCACTGAGCACCGAGCTGGGAGCATGCCTGGGGTACTGTCAGTTAACCCCAAGGCCAAAACTTTCCCCAAACTTGCTAACTGTACATTGACTATGTAAGCAAATGCCTTTTGTTCCTAGAAAAACATACACCAGGACTGAAAGGGCATGATGTTGGGCTGGAAAAACATTGCCTGGCCTGATCCCTGGGGTAAGAGTCCCCTGAGCACCACCAGGGGTCATGCATAATGACTGTGACCCCCAAAAACCCAACCCAAGAAAGACATAATGTGGGGACCAAAGACAGCACAGGGTTCCCGTGCTTGCTTTGCATGCAGCCCAATGGTTTCCTGCACGACCTCACCTGATTCCCTGAGCACTATCCAGGGGGCCTAACCTCCCACCCCACACAGGGGACATGTCACAACTTGCTCTCACATGGTTCTGAGAAAGCTCCTCATGCAAGAGGAATTACACAGCAGACACACACACGCATACACATATCCAGGGGAAATACGGGCTGTGGCTTAGCGGCTTAGCTGTGGAAGCAAGCCCAGCGTGCAGGAGGCCTGGGACCAATCCCCAGCACCGCGAAAGAACGAATACAAGGAAAACAGGGCGAGATGCTTGCTGAGGGTGACAAGTGAGGGCTACGACGGACATCTGTTCTATTCTTATAAATCAATTTTAAAAGGTTAGAAACACTATTTTTAATGTCTTCCTTTCAAAAAATGCAAAAGCACTGAAAGTTATTATAGCTTCCTAATGGTGAATGGATGTGAATCCCACCTATGCAAACAGAGTGGATTTCATATTCTTAGCACTTACGTTCTCAAACTTTCAGCTTCAAAAGGCTTTTCTCTCTTTTTATGTCTGAGTTCAATGATGATCCAGCTGTAGAGTAAAAAAGACAATAGTGATTGACAATAACAACTCAATCTTTTATTAGGACTACAGAAGAATTAACAGAAAGTACTTATGTGGGGGCTGGAGCGAAAACACAGTGGGTAGGGCATTTGCCTTGCACGCAGCTGACCCGGATTTGATTCCCAGCATCCCATAGGGTCCCCCGAGCACCGCCAGGAGTATTCCTGAGTGCAGAGCCAGGAGTAACCCTGAACATTGCTGGGTCTGACCCAAAAAGGAGAAAAAAAAATGTATTTATGCAATAGATGTGCCTTTTATCTCCTCCTCAGCCCGTACCTCTTTCATAAAGCACTTATCTCGATTCCAGACAGATAACACAGGGGTAGAGGTTCCTGCCTTTTGTGCTGCAGACCCTGCTTCTACGCCAAGTACCAGAGGGCCACCCAGTACTGCCAGGAGCAGCCACCAAGCAGAGTTGGGAATAGCCCGAAGCACAGCTTGGTATGGTCCAATGAATTTATCCGGGAGGGGGTGCCGTACCCAACACCAACTCTCTGGCCTCTGGCTATCACACTAGATCACATCAAGTCAAATTTAGTTGGCACGCTGGACCATATCCACCTGAAAAGACCAGGCACCAAAAGACAAGTGACCTCAAAATCCCAGAAGGAAATAATAAGTGCCTGCCTTGACCTCTTTCCGGTTTCCAGTCCCTCCCAATAAAATCATTTAGGCTAAAACTAGCTTTCTGTTTCTTTATGTTACACAATCTGGACAACAACCACTGATCACTTTTCAACACCATCAATAAGCCAATATTCTAACAGCATCAAAGATTTTTATATACCAAACACTAAGTTGAAAATACTGGCTAGCGGTGGGCCAGGAGAGCCCTGGTCCTGCCTGTTCAACCCCTGGCACCGCCAACCCAGTAAAATGTTGAAGAGTTTTAATCTAAATTATAAAAGGAAAATTGTTCATTAGGCAAAACAAAAACACTAGAGATATCAGTTCAGTCGGCAAAATAAGAACCATCCAAAACAAAAAGCACGAGGAAACTATATTGTTAGTAAACTTGCACCCATCCCTGCCAGGCTGATGAGCTGGCGACATCAGTCCTAGGGAGGCAGGTCACCTGGGGAGCCCTGGGGACAAGACCTCTCACTGCACAGCTCTTTGGGAGCTTCTAAGCGGCCCCACAACATCCAACTGCATATTTAAAAAATAAACACGATGATGGAGCAATAGCACAGCAGGCAGCAGGGAGGTGTTTGCCTTGCACGCAGCCAACGTGGCCGACACAGATTCGATTCCCAGCATCCCATATGGTCCCCCGAGCACCGCCAGGAGCAATTCCTGAGTGCATGAGCCAGGAGTAATCCCTGTGCATCACCAGGTGTGACCCAAAAAGAAAAAAAAAAGAGTAATTCCTGAGTGAATAACCCCTAAGCATTGGCAGATGTGATCCAAAAAGAAAAAAGAAAGTAAATAAACATGATGAAAGGCTTTGAAAAGCATGAAACAAGCAGCCCCGGGCAGCCCTGACTCACTAGGTCCGCACTCTCTCGGAGCAGGTCATTTCGGTGGCCTTGTCTGTCCTGCGGACACCTGCGCTGTTCACACACCAGCACGTGGTGGTGCCGTTGCACTGCTTGGCCTTGAAGAGCCCCATGTCATCGCACTCAGGGTCGTAGAGCCCGTCGTTGTTCTCAATGGCGCCCTCAGGCTTCACTCGTCTCCCAGACTTGCTGCTGCTCATCTCAGCCTTCATCACCAAACATTTGGAAGCCACTGGAAAGAACATTTACCGTCAATCTGAGAAGAATCAACAGTGCAATTTTACACGTAAGGGGGAACGTTTTAATTCCAAACTCCTAAGGCCAAGGACAGACTTGGATATTCCCATTCTCACTTTCTAAAGACAAGAGCTTTTCTAGGAAATAACCCCCTTCACACGTGATCTCATGATGATACCTTCCAAATCCAGGTGTAAAGAAAAGCTCCCCAAGTTGAAATGCACCAACCAGGAGGATACACTACTTACATTTCGAGCAGATCACAGTATGTTGCGTGCCGAGGGAAGTACACTGGCATTGACCATTCATGTTAAGGGAGCAGTTAGTTGTCAGCTTATAATTTTCACAGACACAGTCTACAGGAGGAAAAAAAATGCTCATTAAAATGTGAATCCTGGGGCTGGAGCTATAGCACAGTGAGTAGGGCATTTGCCTTGCACACAGCCAAACCGAGTTCGGTTCCCAGTATCCCATATGGTCCCCCGAGCACCGCCAGGGGTAATTCCTGAGTGCAGAGCCAGGAGTAACCCCTGAGCATCGCCAGGTGTGACCCAAAAAAAGGCAAAAAAAAATGTGAATCCCACAACAACTATCAATTCTGTTCTCACAATAATGTCCAACTTATAGGGAAACCATCTAAAAAGGCATTTCTGGGGGCTGGAGCAATAGCACAGTGGGTAGGACGTTTGCCTTGCAAGGTATGAGGCAAACCTGGGTTCAATGCCCAGCATCCCATATGGTCCTCCCGACCCCCGAGCACTGTATATCACTAGGTATGACCCAAAAAGCCCAAAAAAAAAAAAACCATTCCCGAGGGCTAATTTCACATACAATCTAACGTCGGACAGTTAATTTTGGTTGCTTCATTTTGTTGGGTTTTGGGGGCCACACTCCGCAGCACTCAGGGCTCATTCCTGACAGGGAATGGGAACCTGGGATTCAAACCAGGGTCAGCCCTGTGCAAGGCAAACACCCTACAGCTGTACTATCACTCTGGTCCTGTTTGGATGTTTTTTGTTTAACAAAGAATAATCCAGCTCTCCAAATTTCAGCCTTTAAAAGATGCCCAATTTCAGCTTGTTTCCTCCTGCAAGATGAACCACTGGCTGGAAGTCACCAGCTCCCTCCCGGGCCGGGGAGATGAGTCCAACTCGGGAGCCCACGCCGGAGGCCGGGTTCATGGCAAGGTCATCAACACCAAACTCAGAGCAGGCCCAGAGCACTGCTGAGAGTGTCCGAAAAGACAAAATCGCAATTCTAGGATCTGTGAATAATTCACAACCCCGTGGCCCCAAGTCCCCTCCCCACATTTCTTATTATTTTCTCAGTTTTATTTGTTTTTGATTTGAAGGTCACATCCGGCAGTGCTCTGGGCTTATTCCTGGCTCTACATTCAGGGGTCACTCCTGGTGGTACTTGAGGAACCAGAGGGATGCCAGGGGTCCACCCTGGGTTGGCTGTGTGGAAGGCAAGTGCCCTACCCGTATCTTGGCCCCAGCTCCCCTATACCAAATTTTGAAACTGATCGCAAGCAGCCCATCTTGGGTATTAATGTTAGTTTAGTAGTTAGAGCTAAGACTCTCGATTATTCATTTTAACTTCCAATTGACAAGTTCAACTAATTCTTTTCGGTTCCTGTATTATCTGGTCCCTAAACCAAAGAATTTTTATATTGACTTCATTTTACAAGTTGTCTTTAATTTTTTCTGTTTAAATTATAATCCATCTCTTCGCTCCTCCATGTTCCCGGAGCGAAGAGATGCCATTGGGCTACACTAGCACGCGACAGGGACAAATGGAGATGTTACTGGCGCCCGCTCGAGCAAATCGACGACTAACGGGAAGTTAAGTGATTAAGTGATTAAAATTATAATCACTATGAACCATATCTGTAACAGCCTAGCGCTCAATTCGGTATGAAGATCCCAGAAGGAAAAGCTGAGTCTCTGTGGTCATACAGCACCATACGGTCCACCTCAAAGCACATTTTTTCAAGCCGAAACACAAAATTTAAAAGGCTCTCAGCACTGGGAATGGGGCTCAGTGGTCCAGCACTGGCCTCGCTAGTGTAAGGTCCTGGGTTTGATCACCAGCTCGATTGGGAGTGAGCCCACTGCCGGGAGACAGAGGCACCGGGTGTAGCCCCCCCCCCCCCAACACACACAAAAAAATTCTTTTTAAACTAAAAGACCTGTCAGATACAATGGTCTATACATAGTAAGTACTGGCACTTTGGTTTTAAGTTTAGTATTTTTTCTTAATTAATTAATCAATCGTGTTTTTGGTCACACTGAGCAATGCTCAGGGGCTATTTCCGGCTCTGCACTCAGGAATCATCCCCCCCCCTTTCTTGGGGACGATATGGGATGCCAGGGATGGAACCCTGGTCTACTGTGTGCAAGGCAAACGCCCTACACACTGTCCTATCCCTCTGGCCCCTTTAAGTTTAGTCTCTTCCCCTCAAACTGGAGGCAAGAAACACATTAAGATGACTTTTGAAGTGAAATGAATTCAGGTCTTGGTACAAATGAAGAAACAAATTAACTTTCCCCGAGAAGCTTTGTCAGCTGTCACATCACTTCTAGCCACCTTCTCACAACAGAGAGCAGTCAAGGTATTTATTCTGGATTTCTTCGTCCATTGCTTCGAGCAGGCCCCAGTAACGTCTCCTTCATCCTAGCCCTGAGATTATATTCAAGGCTCTTTAGGAGAATGAGACCCATCATTGTTACTGGTATTTGGCATATTTGGTACGCCGCGGGGAGTTTGCCAGACTCTGCCCTGTGGGCAGGCTACATTCGATAGCCTGCAAGTTTGTCCTGGATTAAGAAGAAAAAAATAGCCTCAACCAACCAGGGCCACGTTTGGACAACGAGATGCCGCGCATTTAAATCCTGCAGGCGGGCAGGGCAGCGGCGCCAAACAATAATCAAAAATCACAATAAACCGTGCTTTGCACAGCTACAAGAAATGAAAACCTTGCTCTTTAGGGAAGGGTACACATTGTTAACACAAAACTATGTTTAGGATTAACGGGATGTCTAAAAGAATAATATACTCCATTATTTAACTACGGGATTTCCTCCAAGTGGTGGAAACTGGTTTTCAGGCTTTTGTCCGACGTTTGCTTTTAGCATCTAAGACTGTCGATATTGCTGCGCTTCCAACCACGAACGCCGGGCTTTAGTCTTCAACGATCCTTAGAAAAGCGCCCGCTCCGCCCGCCCGCCCGCCCGCCCGCCGCCTCACGGGCCCGGGAGACCTGCGGGCGCAGGTGCACAGCGGCCTGGCAGCTCCCGGCGCCCCAGCAGAGGCCCCGCTGCCCCGGCGTCCGCTGTCCCCGAGGCCCCGCTGCCCCGGGCCCCTGTCCCCGAGGCTCCGCTGCTCCCGACGTCCACTGTCCCCGAGGCCCCGCTGCCCCCGGCGTCCCCTGTCCCCGAGGCCCCGCTGCCCAGATCCCCTGTCCCCGAGGTCCCGCTGCCCCCGGCCCCCTGTCCCCGAGGCCCCGCTGCCCCCGGCCCCTGTCCCCGAGGCCCCGCTGCCCGGGCCCTGTCCCCGAGGCCCCGCTGCCCCCGGCGTCCGCTGTCCCCGAGGCCTCGCTGACCCCGGCGTCCCCTGTCCCCGAGGTCCCGCTGCCCAGATCCCCTGTCCCCGAGGCCCCGCTGCCCAGATCCCCTGTCCCCGAGGCCCCGCTGCCCCGATCCCCTGTCCCCGAGGCCCCGCTGCCCCCGGCGTCCCCTGTCCCCGAGGTCCCGCTGCCCCGATCCCCTGTCCCCGAGGCCCCGCTGCCCCCGGCGTCCGCTGTCCCCGAGGCCTCGCTGACCCCGGCGTCCCCTGTCCCCGAGGCCCCGCTGCCCAGATCCCCTGTCCCCGAGGCCCCGCTGCCCAGATCCCCTGTCCCCGAGGCCCCGCTGCCCAGATCCCCTATCCCCGAGGTCCCGCTGCCCCCGGCGTCCCCTGTCCCCGAGGCCCCGCTGCCCCCGGCGTCCGCTGTCCCCGAGGCCCCACTGCCCCCGGCGTCCCTGTCCCCGAGGCCTCGCGGCACCCAGCGCCCCCGAGTCCCCGTCCCCGAGTCCCAGGAAGTCCCCAGCGCTCCCGCTCCCCGACGGCCCCAGGCCCCGACCGAGACCCGGCAGCCCCGGGCGCCCCGGGTTCCGGAGTCCTGGGAAGCCCGAGCGCTCCCGCTCCCCGAGGGCCCCTGACCCCGCTCCCCCGGCCCCCGGCCCCCGCAGAGAACGACTCCGCGCCCCCGCGGGCGCCCGGGGACGCAGTGGGTGCGCGGGCGGGAGGCGCGTCCGCAGCCCTCGGGCCCGCGGGTCCCCGGCCCTTCCCGCCGCCGCCGCTCGCGCCCGCTCACCTTGCTGCGCGCCGGCCAGCGTGGCCGCGGCCAGGGCCAGCAGCAGCCCGAGCGCGCCGCCCTGCAGGGGCGCCATGCTGCGACGGCGACGGCGACAGGGCTCCGCGGGGTCGGGCCGGCCGGGGTCGGTGCCGGTGCGCGCGGGCCGGGTCGGGCCGGGGACACCGAGTGCGCGCGGGCGGGGTCGGTGCAGGCGCTCGCGGGTCGGGCCGGGGCTGGTGCGCGCGGGCCGGGGACACCGAGTGCGCGCGGGCCGGGGTCGGTGCAGGTGCTCGCGGGCCGGGCCGGGGCTCCGAGTGCGCGCGGCGCGGCCCCACCTGCCGCCTCCACCTGGCGGCCCCGCCCCGGCCGCCGCCTCCCGCCGTGACTCACCGCCGCCCCTCCCCCGCCACCGCCAGGTGCGCCGGGCTCGACGCGGGGCGCCCGGGGGCTGCTTTCCCCCGGGGCCGGGCCGCAGGGGGGGTGGCGAGGCCGACTCGGAGGCGGCCGCCTACCCGGGGACAAAGAGGGCAGGAAACTGCGCGGTCGCAGCCGAGGAGGCGACCTTTGAGCGTCCGGGGCGGCGACCTCGCGCGCCTCTGCCACGGGGGGCTGCGGGAGCCGCCCCCCTCCCACTAACCCGGCTCCTCTTTGTAACCGTCCTGTTCCCCCCGCCTTTTTTTTTAAGACGGCCCTGTAAGGCTGGAGGATACGTGGACTCATCAAGTCGAATGCTGGAAGGTGAAATGATTCCGTTTCATTAACATGAAAGAAGTATTGGAGGGCTGGAGAGATTCACAGCGGGTAGAGCAATTGCGCCCACCCGAGTTGGGTCCCCGCAGCGTCCTCGGGAGTGGTCCCTTGAGTGCAGAGCCAGGACTAAGCATCACCGACGGGGACGGAAAAATCGAAACGAAGAATTACGTTGCGGCCTTGGAAAAAGTATAGAAATTTATTTCCGTGCCAAAGGATTTAACAATACGCTATTCTTGCAGTCTCCAAAGAACTAATAATGAAGCCCTTAATAACTGTTAAGTTATAAACACTTTTTGGAATTATTTTTGTTAACTGATACTATAACCCGTTTTTTAAAAGACTTTTCTGCTTAAGAAATCACTAGAGGAGTCCAAAAGAGACAAGGTGAAATAGAAATATTAGGATAGAGAAAGGGCCAATAAGACAGTAATAGATGGAAATGATCGCTCTGGACAAGAACAGAGTGTTGAAAGGAGGTAAAGGGATGTACATGATAACCTTTCAGTGTCTGTATTGTAAATCATAATGCCCAGAGGGGAGGGAGAGGGAGTCTGCCCTGGCTAGGGGGGACAGGCTGGAGGGAGATTGGGGACATTGGTGAATGGAAATGTACACTGGTGAAGTGACAGGTTTTGGAACAGAGCAACTTTGTAACTGTGTATGTCACTATGATTCAATTAAAAAATAATTTTTAAAAACTAAAAAAGAAAAAATATTCAACAGTTTGGCTAATATTTTGGGGGGTCACACCCAGCGATGCTCAGGGGTTACTCCTAGCTCTGAACTCAGGAATTACTCCTGGCTGTGCTTGGGGGATCATATGGGATGCTGGGAATCGAACCCTGGTCAGCCGCATGCAAGGCAAACACCCTACCCGCTGTGCTATCGCTCCAGCCCCAGTTTGATTAATTTTTACAAATATGTATGCAAATCCAAATATGGTTTTACTGAAGCAACTGTTTAAGTATTTTTCTATGGTTTATGTGAATATTCACATAAATATCCACATAAATCTGTTTAATTGGAATTTTACTTGTAGATAAATAAGCTATTTGGCATCTACATACCAGTTGCTAGCCTTAATTTCAGAACATTGTCATCAGTTTGAAAAAGAATGTATCAAATTAGAAACCAAGTTCTTAACCGGAATGTTGTTTTCTTCTGTATTTGGAATATTTTCGTGAAGCTTCACACTCATGTTCGGCCCCTAAACTACACATACTTACCAAGAAGAACAATCTAACTGGTTATTGTGGCCTCATTTGCTTAGTGTTCTATTGCCAGATCTACAACCTAACCAAAAAAGCTGCATCTTGTAACTTGACAGCTGTTGATTAAGTTGTTCATTGCAATATAACAAATTGAATAAACATGACTATTAAATAAATGACAATATTCCACACAAACTAAACTCTGACTCACTGTGCTTATCATAACTAAATGAGATGTCTGGAACATGGAGATGAGGAAGACAGAAGTTTATTTCATCACGATGGGTCCCCCTTAGACAAATTATTCAAAAACTGAGGTTGCATTTATACTTCAAAAGCACATTCCAGGGGCTGGAGCAATAGCACAGTGGGTAGCGCGTTTGCCTTGCACGTGGCTGACCCGGGTTCAATTCCCAGCATCCCATATTCCCAGCATCCCCTGAGCACTGCCAGGGGTGATTCCTGAGTGCAGAGCCAGGAGTAACCTCTGTGCATCGCTGGGTGTGACCCAAAAAGCAAAAAAAAAGGTACATTCCAAAGTGTCCATTAAAATCTTAGTAAGATTAGGGATGTGGGGACACTGGTGCTGGGAAATGTACCCTGGTGGAGGGACGGGTGCTGGAACACTGTATGACTGAAACCTAATCATGAACGGCTTTGTAAGGGTCTACATCACGGTAGTGATTCAATACATTTTGTCTTGCTTCAATAAAAAATGTTAAAAATAAGATCTTGTGGGGTTGGAGCAATAGCACAGCGGGTAGAGCGTTTGCCTTGCACGCAGCTGACCCGGGTTTGATATCCAGCATCCCATATGGTCCACTGAACACCGCAGGGGTAATTCCTGAGCGCAGAGCCAGGAGTAACCCCCATGCATCACTGGGTGTGACCCCCCCAAAAAAAGCAAAAAAAAAATAAGATCTTGTAAGATTAACTACAATTTTGACTTAATATTCCCCTGAGAACCTCTAGGTGTGACCCAAAAGTGAAATCAAAAACAATCACTTTAGACTTTGTGGATCTTTTGGACTTCTAGTGCCACTATTTTTTTTTCTTTGTGGGTCACACCCGGCGATGCTCAGGGGTTATTCCTGGATCTGCACTCAAGAATCACTCCTGGCAGTGCTTGGGGGACTATATGGGATGCCAGAGATTGAATCTGGGTCGGCTGCATGCAAGGCAAACACCCTACCTGCGGTACTATCGCTCGGGCCTCGTGCCACATTTTTAAACATTCTTTAATATTTTTGTATAATTTCAAAGCCAAGTTTATTCCTAAAGAAATATGACAAGACTAAAAGACAACTAAGTGTAGCCGGTAAGGTACTTGCCTTGCACACCACAGCCCAGGTTCAATCCCCGGTACCCCATATGGCCCCCTGAGCCTCACTAGGAGTGATCCCTGAGCACAGAGCCTGGAGTGAGCCTTGAGCACCACTGGTATGACCCCCAAACAAATAAACAAACAAATATAGACCTACCTAAACTTTCCTAACCAAACTCCAGCAGTCCATCCATTTAAAATTCCAATTAAAGGGGCCAGAGCAATAGTAAAATGGATAGGGTGCTTGCCTTGGAGATGAATGACCTGGATTGGAAACTCAGCTACCCATATGATCCCCAAAGCCCACCAGGAGTAATCCCTGAGTGTAGAGTCAGGAATAAGCCCTGCGCACTGCATTGGGGGTGTAGTCACAAAACACAACAAAACAAAATTACGTTTAAAAGCCTACATCAGGGGCCAGAGCAATGGTATAGCGGGGAGGGCATTTGCCTTGCACAAGGCAGACCCGGGTTTGATCCCCAGCATCCCATATGGTCCCCCAAGCACCACCAGGAGTAATTCCTGACTGCAGAGCCATGAGTAACCCCTGTGCATTGCTGGGTGTGACCCAAAAAGTCAAAAATTTAAAGATGTGAAAGGAAGCAATTCAGCTTTATAGTAGAAAAAAAATTGCGCCAATCAATTCTGTCACAATTTTCTGATGTACACTGGAGAAATGTAGAAAGACATACTTGTAAAACCTTAATGAATTTTTTTAGTCACATGAAATTACCAAGTTATCAATGATTAGCTACCAGGCATACAGTGTTTCTACTCCCTTCCCCCTGTCGCTTCAACCCCCCAATCCCCCGCTCTGGCCCACCAGTAAGTCTGCTTCTAAGAGATGGATTTTTTTGGTAAGGTTTTGCCCTGTGCTTTACAGTTACTGATATAAAGTTAATGCATCTTATAGGGCCGGAGCAATAGTACAGCACATAGGCAAGCAGCTGACCCACAGTCAATCCCCAGCATCCCATATGGTCCCCTGAGCACTGCCAGGAGAGATTCCTGAGTGCAGAGCCAGGAATTAAGCCCTGAGCACCACTGGGTGTGGCGAAAAAAAACCCAAATAAATAGACAGTTTGATTGGTAGGTAGGATGCGAATGTTAAATTGGGTAAATGACATTCTTGCAAGTGCTTAGGAAAGTGTAATGTTTACATATTTGCTATCATGGGTGACTAGTTCATGAAACTTGTGTTAATTCATGAGTAATACACAAGTAGGAAAGAACTATCTAGAATGAGAGTTCTTCCTGTCTACATCATCTAGTAATGTAGTAAATTCATCCCTCCTGGATAAACATTTAATTTAGGACTCCTGTGACTTTTTTTTTCATTGAATAACCATGAGATATACAGTTACAAAGTTATTCATGATTGAGTTGCAGTCATAAAGTGTTCCAGCACCCACCCATCCCTTCACCAGTGTACATTTCCTGACACCAATGTCCCAAGCCTACCTTCTCCCACCCCACAGCCTGCCTATTACGGCAGTTACTTTTCTCTCTCTCTCTCTCTCTCTCTCTCTCTCTCTCCCCCCCCCCCTTCTGTCTCTGTCTCTCTCTCTTATTTTCCTTTTGGCCACAATGGTTTGCAATACTCTTACTGAAAGGGTATCATGCATATCACTTTACCTCCTTTTAGCACTCAGTTCTTGTCCAGAGGGATCATTTCCAACTATCATTGTCATAGTATTCCCTTCTCTGTCCCTCCGCCTCAGTGGCCAGCTTCCTATCATGGACCAGTCCTCCTCGCTCTTATTTCTACTATCTTGGGTATTATTCACATAGTATGTTGGTTTTTGGATTTTTTTTTAAGATCCCACAAAGGAGTGCAGTAATTCTGTCTGTCACTCTCCCTCCGATTCATTTCACTTAGTACATATGCTCCATGTCCATCCATGTAGAGCAAATTTTATGACTTCAGTTTTC